CAAACTTTTATACTCAATATTATAAATGTGATAGTCTCTCTGTTGCTTCTCACGCTTAAAACGCTGAACAGATTTCGATAAAATTTGGCAATGATATAGATTGCATCCTGGGATTGGATATAGGCTACCCTTGAATCCCGCCCCGTTAATCACGCGAAGAAAGCCGACATAAACTAGTATGATTATAACAACTTTTTATAAAAAAAAATATGTAATGATTTTTCAACTTCGGAGTAGTTTTTTTTTTAATTCTTTTTTTTTAAATTAATCTATTAATAAAAAAAAACACAAATATAAAAGACAAGTGCCTACAACCGAGTTTAATGCTTCCTCTTTGAAATCGGTCAAATTTAACTAATTTAGTGTATTAGCAGTAGCTTTTTTTCATGTTGGACTAAAAATAAAGGCACAAACATTCTAGATCATTGTATGTATATATTTAACGTCCCACTGCTGGGCGTGGACCTCTCTTCAAAACGAGATTGATTAAGCCATTGTTTTTTTTCTCTCAGGAATTTATATGTATTTTGGACCACTCACTATAACGGTTTAAATCGGTATTTTACATCAAACTGGAATAGAATCTACTATCTCTAATTTACGCATCGCCTACAATAGACCGGATGGTCTATAAGTATATAGAATTTAATTATACTAGTGTTCGTCCAATGGTTGAAATTGGAACATAATCATTATTGAAAATTCAGGAAAAAATATATAAATGGAATTTTCGTATTTATATATGAAATAACCTTTTTAATATTTTTTTATTGGTAACACTAAATCTCGTCAATAGCTACTAAACCAAAAAAAAAAAAGAAAATCGATTGACAAACAGAGAAGGAAAATATACTGAACTTTTGTCTTTACCCATTTATACCTATATACATAAATATGTTGGGACATTAACACACAGCGCCATCTAGTTCCATGGTAAGCTATGAGGCCTGTGTTATGGGTACCAGATAGTTGATACACTACACATATATAACTTTAAATACATACATATTATAAACTAGCATCACCCGCGCCTCCGCCCGCGTTCAGATGACCAAAAATATTGGAGTTTTTATATTTTTTCTCAGAAATGAGACATTTTCCCGCGGTAAAAAGTATTCTATATGTCGACCCGGATAACCAGCTATCATCATATCAAATTTCATTAAAATCCCTCCAGTGGTTTTTCTGTGATGCGGTAACAGACAGACAGACAAAATTTTTAAAAACTATAGATTCGGCCTCTGTATCGATAATAATGTCTACTTCAATAAGATTTTTCAAATAATATTTAATGTATAGATTCAGCTTAGTTACAATTTTATTATATGTATAAATATAAACACCCACGTCTGGAGTACAAACATTCGTGCTCATCACACCAATGAATGCCCCCAGCGGGACTCGAACCCGCGACCGCTGGTACAGCAAGTAGGGTATCTACAAACTGAACCAACCGTGTCGTCAATATTAGATTAGATATATAAAAAGTTGATGTAACAATTTCTATTGTAGTTTTTGCTAACAAAAGGACTTTGATCATTTTTCATTATTCGCAGAAGATATTTTTAAAGACTAATTTTACGCTTGAAACGTAACACGTATTTTATTTTTCTTTTAAATTAATTCATTGTTATATAGCATTTGTAGCGTTTTATATCAAAAGTGATACGAATACTGTGTATGTAGTATCTAAGTTTGCTTAGAATCTTGGAATTCTCATCAAAATCGATTTAGCCCTCTAAATTATAATTGAGTTATGTGTATGTTTGTTATTCTTTTACACTGAAACGGCTGTACTGATTTAGATGAGATTTACTACACGAATTGGCTATGATCTGAAGCAACTTATAGGCTACTGTTAGTAGTAAAATTTGCCAAAAGGTGGCGATCTGTGTAGGTATATCCATACTAAACCATACTAATATTATAATGTGAAAGTGGGTTTGTTTGTTTGTCCTTCTTTCACGTCGAAACAGAGTGATAGGTTGGCGTAATTTTTTGTGAGGACATAGCAAAAGGGCTGGAGAGTGACATAGGCTACTTTTTACCGCGGGAGATTATCTCATTCCCACGGGAAAACACAACAACTCATAATACCTATGTATATATATATATATATATATATATATATATATATATAATATACATAGTCTATCTATTCCATAGTAACCGTTGAAACGTACCTAAGGAGGAATCCGAGCGAAGCAACGGTGAGCCGCTAGTTATATTATAAAACATAAATAGGCACCAAAAAGAACACAAGCGAAGCGACAGTATATCGCTAGTTTAACATATAATATTATTGATATAAGTTCTAATTCAATTAATTAAACAACGAACAAACAAACGATTTACATTTTTATATATACATAGTTAGATGAGATTACTTTTCAACATTCACAGAATGTCGACATAAATTGGAATACGTATTCTGAGAATGTTTATAATAAATTTAGTTTGTTATTTTGCCATTTTTTTTTATTCTTTAAAATATTCTTAAGAAAATTATAAATATATGAATACGAGGCTTCGCTCGTGACTCTGCTCGCTTTTTTAATGTTAAATATATATGCATATATGTATATTTATATATAAACAAAGGTATGATGAGTTGTCGTAGGTTGTATTATAACGTGTTATCCCGTGGGAATGAGATAATCTCCAGCGGTAAAAAGTAGCCTATGTCACTCTCCAGCCCTTCAGCTATCTCCATACAAAAAATCACGCCAATCCGTCACTCTGTTTCGACCCAAAAGAAGGATAAATGAACGCACTTTTATATCTATACTAATATTATAAAAAGGCTGGGTTTGTTTGTTTGTTCATTTGAACGCGCTAATCTCAGGAACTATCAATCTGATATGACAAATTCTTTTCGCATTAGATAGCCCGTTTATTGAGGTAGGCTATAGGCTATATATCATCATGCTACTACCCAAGGGAGCGGAGCAGTAATAAATGTGAACAAATCGGGCAGAATTCCATACATTATTGTAAATCTGATGTTTATAATCAAACAAATATAACGCGGGTGAAACCGCGGGGCACAGCTAGTTTATAAATATTAGTGTGCTTATAATTTAGTGTGGATTTTAAGTTTTAACAAAACTATTACAAGTAAACCCGAGAAATTAAATAATATGAATATCCAGAATAAGCCCGTGCGGCGGTTACTTATTCGAAAGCAATTTTAGTTCGCCCCCTTCGTTTAGAATTACACAGGGACGTACTTTAGTTGGAATATTAAATACTTTATATAATAATAAATTTATATTTTGTCTGTATGTTTATATTATACCGATTTTAGTTTAAGTTTAATTGATACATAGGATAAGTTAAACATTTTATCAGTCTATTTATTTTTATGTTTTATATCGTGTGATATAAAAAAATCTAATCAAAACTTAGTCAAGATGGAATTGGAATTAGACAAGATATTACTCTATAATCGTTGATGTATACAAAAAAATTAAAAATTGTATTGAAATGGCGTATTTTATAGTTTTAATTCAGTTGTAATTATTATAAAAATCGTCGTTAATAGCTACTAACCAAAAAAAAAAAAGAAAATCGATTGATGAACAGAAGAGAAAAGGCTCTGAACTATATTGCCTTTGCCTATTTATATATAGATGTCATAGAACAATATGTCATTTCTTTATATTTTTAAACTTTCTACTTTTTAAAGATTCTATAATGACCTGTTATCTAAACCCTTTGATTAAACAATCAATTATCTCTATCTCATATATCATTATAAATATGACTAATAAAAATTAATTTATAAGATAGCACGTAACATATCTATACATATAATAAAATTGTAACTAAGCCGAATCTGTACATTAGACATTGTTTGGAAAATCTTATTGAAATAAACATTATTATCGATACAGAGGCCGAATCTATGGTTTTTAGGATTTTTGTCTGTCTGTCTGTTTGTTACCGTATCACAGAACAATCACTGTATGGGTTTTAATGAAATTTGGTATGGTGATAGTTGGTTATCCGGGTCAACATATAGGATACTTTTTACCCCGGAAAAATGTCTCACTTTTGAGAAAAAATACAAAAACTGCAATGTAAGAGTATACTAATATGTAAAACCTAAGAATTTGGTTTCTAGTTATTAGACCCGCGGGCAATGCTAGTAGACAATAAAAAAAATATATTAAAAACGCATACTCTCATTTTCTAAGTTAGTCAAAAATAGTGTACCGAGTACGTCGCCACCCACCCCCAGCCGGTAACGTGGCTGGAATCGACCGGATTTATTTCTTCTAATTATATATAAGTATTGTTGACAATGTACGCGTGTATGTACTAGATATATATGTTTATCACAAGGCTTTGTCTGCTTTTTTGCTGTTAAATTAACTTATTTATGTACAACTAGGGACGTTTTAACGTTTAGTATAGATTTCTCAGAGATTAGATATTTTCCCGCAGTAAAAAGTATACTGTATGTTGACCCGGATAACCAGCTGTCATCATACCGAATTTCATCAAAATCTGTCCAGTGGTTTTCTCGTGATGCGGTAACAGATAGACAGACAGACAGACAAAAATTCTAAAAACTATAGATTCGGACTCTGTATTGATATTAATGTCTATTTCAATTAGATTTTCCAAAAAATATTTAATGTACTGATTCGACTTAGTTACAATTTTATTATATGTATAGATTATTACTGTACAAGTCATGTCCGTGTGGAATTTTACCAAGAATGTTAGCCGCGGAATGGATATAAACTAAACTAATCATTAAATTTAAATCAAACAATCTTTTCGGGTATTTTCGTGGATTTATATACTTCTTACAGACAGTATAATACATATATCCACAAATTACAAAATGATTTAAATAAATACAAAAATGGCACCAAAGTACCTTACAATATTTGTTATTGGTTAATTTTAAATATTTAATATTATTTCAAAATGTCAAATATTCGCGTAAATCTAAGAAAATATTATAATCTTTAATTTTATTCTTCCAGGATGAAGTCCTAGCCATTAACGACAAGGTTGTTCTTAAAGCAGAGGACCTTCTCAGTTGGGTGTGCAATGGGGCTGGATGGAGATGGGGTCTCAGGGCAGTGTGGAGAGGAGCCTGTGCGCCCCCATCAGACCCTCGGCTGACCGCTCCTCTGCATCACACGAAACTGGACTTCAGTGATGTGGAAAGAGAGAAAAGTGCTATAAGTAGGTGTTTTTTAGGTTTTTGTCGTTTTGGGGTGATTTTTTTTATTTTATTTTTTTTGCTTTGAGTGTTTAGGAGTTTGGAATTCAAATATTTTTATATCAATATGCGTGTGATTTGAATGAAGGTGAAATATTTTTTTTATAATCTTTATTGCTATTGAATTAAGCCTATATATTTTTGAATGCTGTTTCTTTTTGGTAGATATATATTAAAAAGTATAAATATAGGTGAGAAATTCAAAGTAAATGAAACGCACGCCATTGGTCAGACCGAATGTGACGTCAGAGTATATCAGAACAGAGCGATTAGCGATTTTGTCGCTACAAATTGAGTCGTCATTTCTCTATGTATAACATACTGTGACGTCACGCCGAGCGCGCGGAATAGCGGGCGCTTAAAATATCCGTAAAATTTAGTTTTTTGGAGCTGAATAGTTTTTTTTTATAATTATTTTATTTTATTAAATTAGTTTTTTTTTTAATTTTTTTTAATTATATTATTTTATTATATACATAAAGATGGTTTAGGTAAGAATAATAGACCAATTCTTCTAGACGTTAAAAAAAATTATTCTATCTTTCCAGCGGTAGACGTAGACGATCCAGGTGTGGTGGTCTTCTCATATCCTCGATACTGCCGTTATCGGGCGTTGGTGGCTCGGCTCGAGGGCATTCAGGCTGATTGGTTGAGGGATTCCCTGGTAGCAGCTTTGGGGGGGTATGCAGCCCCCACCAGAAATACGAGGATATTGTACTGTAAGGTGAGGATAAGGTTTTTTTTAATCATACTAAGACTAGCCGACTGTAGGAGATATTATAGTGCACAAGTGTACGCGCAGACACTAATTATTGTCCCCATTTCTTTTTGTTAATTGAAAAGCTTAGACTAAGGAATAATATAGACAGAGCGCCATAGAACTAAGCATGAAGCCAAAAAATAATGTTTTGAAATAAAAAATAAATAAAAACAGACTTCCAGGACAGAACATTCCAGTTTTCCTGAAAACGGGTTTTTTTAAGTTATTATTTTTCTATTTTTATTCTAGACGTAATAAGCAGGTAATTTGTATGAAGAAAATTTTTTTTTATTAACGTGTTCGATTAAGCCATTTATTTAAAAATAATTTATTGTTCATTTTTTAAAAACCGCTCGACCGATTTCTATAAAATTCAAATGGGACCACCTGGGAAGTGTACCCTTTGAAACAAAAAAGAATTTTCCAAATCAGTTCAGGCGTCTTCGAGTAATCGGTGAACTTACATTAAAAAAAACAAAAAAGATTCCGACGAATTGGGAACCTCCTCCTTTTTGGAAGTCGGTTAAAATTAATATACAAATGGCAATTTGTATACTGAGTGATAAGTAAATAAATGTTAATATATAAACATAGCTAACGGATTTTACTATATTGAAAAATAAAAATTAAGAAAGTTTATAAATATTATGTTATCTCTCTATCAAAGGGAAGAGAGAAGGAAAGAGAGGAGAGAACTAAAATGCATAAAAAATACAAAACTATATAGGTAGTATTATTTTTATTATTAATGTTTTACTGCCAAAAAATGTTACATATATAAAATTTTCCTTATACTTTTAGGAAAGGAAAATATCGAGAATAGTAGCATAAACAGTAAAACACGCTACTATTTTTGACTTCGACATTTATTTTGGCGGGTACCGTCTATAAATTCTTTAGTCACTTTAGATATATGTTTATAAAATAAATAATTTTTCAGGACACCTTCGAATACCCAGAACTTGAAGGTCATGAGTTCGTCTGTAACCATCTAGCCCCTAAACTGAAGGGGAGGCCCCGAGGCCGGCGGCGCAGGACTGCGCGGTCCCGGGATAGGTCTGCGGATAGATCCCCGGACTCGCGCTCGAGTGACAGTGACAGGAACACCCCTGATATTAAGGTGAGTTGGTTTAAAGTTATTTTTTTATCTATTTAAGTACAAAAACCGAAAACAAATTATGAAAATTACAACTACGTATTGAAATTTAAAATATTGCAAACAACATGCAAATAAATACATATCTATACTAATAGTATAAAGAGGTAAAGTAAGCGAGTTTGTGAGGTTGTAGGGGGTAATCTCTGAATTTACTGAACCGATTTAGATGAAATTTAGTAAGAAGACAGTTTGAGACCCTGGGAACTACATAGGATACTTTTTATCCCGGCAAATCATCCCTTAAGGGGGTGAAAATCGGGATGAAAGTTTGTATGGGGAAGCAAGCTAGCTAGTTTTTACTTTTTAGGACAAATTATTATTAATAACAGTATCTATATATATTTTTTTAGGTATTTATAAAATACAATAAATAGTTCATTTTTAACTAGCGACTCACCATTCCTGCCTAATCCCTATCTATAAATCCCGTCCGTCAATCCTAAAGGATTGAGCCGGGACTCGAACCCAGGATCTCATTCTAGTTATTAGACCAACAGAGTAGCTGTACAAAATTTTATATATAAGTAAAATAAAAAAAACAGCACCTAAAGTGTCCTTTTTATTTTAGAAATATCAACCATTTACCAACACTGATATTCTTCTTTAGACCCCAAGAAGACTATCCCTCCGAAACGGCGCAGAGAAGCAAAGCGAAGAAGAGGAAGAAGTAGAGAAGAATCCAGAAGAATTAGCCAAGGATGAAGCCTTTTTGGGGCAACTTAGAGAATTTTTAAAGCACAAAACTGATATCAAAATATCGCATAGTATTAAAAATGGTGAGTTTACTTTGTTTTATTAATAATTAAATTATTATTCATTCCTTTTTAACGTCCCACTGCTGGGCGTGGGCCTCTCAATACGAGGGGGATCAGGCCATAGTCCACCACGCTGGCCAAGTGCGGGCGGACTGAGCATGTCTTTCGAAAACTTGCTAGGTTCTCTCAGACATGCAGGTTTCCTCACGATGTTTTCCTTCACCGTAAGACAAGTGGTGATCATGTTGGAAATGATTCGCACATGATATATAATATCAGAGGTGCAAGACCCGGGATTTGAACCCGTTTTCTGCCTTCCATGCTTAAATACAATAAATAAATTTCTAAGAGAAAACATAACTTGGCAATGATGTGTCATCAGCAAATTTCAATGTTTTAGAATTATAGTTATTTAAATTTTGTTTGTTTACATAAAAAAGATTTGGCTTAGTTTGTAGTGACTTTACTTGCTGTGGCAGCGGTCGCGGATTCGAGTTCCGTTAAGGGCATTCATTTGTGTGATGAGCACGAATGTTTGTACTCCAGTCGTGGGTGTTTATATTTATAATATGTATGTATGTAAGGGGCACCGAGCTTTTGGCGCTAATTAATTTTAGTAGGGCGAAAGCGGGCAGGGGGGGGGGAGTGTGGCTAGGGGGGGACGGAACGCGTGCAGTTTAGGTATTTCCTACGTATTATTAAAGTGTATACGTTATAGAAAACGTATAATTTTTTTATTATTAAAAAACTGATGAACGTCCTTGAATTATTTACGCCGCACTAAAGGTTTATTTTGTTTTTTAGAGATCATTTTGGATTTTTTTTTCTATCGAGAAAACTACAAGTAATCGTGTTTCTAAAGTGTACGATTTATAGAATAAATCCTTAAACATCCTACATATTAGTTGCATAATTAAAGTTTTAGTAATAACAATACAGCAAGGGATCAAACGAACGTATTTATTTCGTAATTTCGTTTCGCTGAATCGGTGCGCCCCTAAAGTTATATATATTTAGTGCATCAACTATCTGGTATCCATAACAAGCGTCGTAGCTTACTATGGAACCAGATGGTGCTGTGCAATGTACCAACATGTCGCTGCGCAGTGTCGCTGCGGTCGCTGTACGCGTGGGTGACGGCGGCGGGCGGGTACGGCGCGTGCCGCGAGCAGCTGTGGCGGCGGCGCTACGGCGAGCGCGCGCCGCGCCTGCGACAAGTGTACGAGCGGTCGGTACAACACTACACTACACCACACTAGGATATTTGTTATTTTTATTAGGATCTCCAACAAAAGAAACACACTATATACAACATCATATAAAAACACTAGCATTGCCCGCATTAACGGTAACAGGAAACAGGTAAACGACGACGACACGGTAACAGGAAAACCACTGGAGCGATTTTGATGAAATTTGGTATGGTGATAGCTGGTTATCCAAGCAATGCTAGTGTTATAAAAGAAAACTATATCGAATGTCCATATAACAAGATTTCCGTGATAAGCAATAAGCATTCCCGAGGAGGGTTGACGTCAGGCAGGCGTGAGGCGGCCGGTCGTAAAACTTTTGCCAAATCCTATCAGCAGTACAGAAGATGTATTGCGCCGACCACAAGTGATTGGGAAATGGACGATATTATTTTCTTTTAGAACTTTTTTTTTTATAATATTACTCAAAATTTAAATGTAATTTTCGGATATATTTGAAAATAAATTTTGAATACACAATAAATTTGGTTTGCTTAAATTTTTTTTTTATAATATTACTCAAAATTTAAATGTAATTTTCGGATATATTTGAAAATAAATTTTGAATACACAATAAATTTGGTTTGCTTAAAAAACAATTTTTTTTTAATAATTTTGTATAAATATATTTTGCCTTATCTATATTAATTTAATAATAATCTTTTTCAGATATCTCCTCCAATACGAAAACCATGAATGGTGGAAAGGAAAAAAGTATTCCAAATTAGCAAATGGAAAGCTCGAAGAACCAAAGACAATAGATACCATAGACGTGACAGACTCCCCAATAAGGGATCTAGACACGAAATCCGAACTACCAGAGAAGAGACTCCGAACTCCATCCCCAAAACTTGAAAATTCCGACAAATCGGAAGTTTCGGAAAAACTCGGAAATCCGGATAAAATCGGAAATCCGGATAAAATCGGAAATCCGGATAAATTGGTATTAGATAACGAAACCGGTGAATTGACAAAAGAAGAATTGAACATAACTTCTAAACCCGCAGAAGAGTTAAATAGAGAGTTTTTAGAATCCTTGAAAAATCCAGAAGAAGAGAAGGCTGCGAAGATTTTCGTGAAACCAGTAGAGAAATTGATAGAGCCTAGTTTGGGGAAAATGGAGAGTGAGTTGACGGAATCCAAAAATGAGGGCGGTTCGGTGTTTTTGAATGAATTAGCACATAAATTAAATTTAGGTAAGTTTTAAAGTTACATTTTTGACCGACTTTAAAAAAAAACTATTTATTTTGTACTAATATACGTACATATTTGTTTCTTTTTTTGTGTATTTAGTATGTGATAATAAAATAAATGTTATTATCTTTAATATTCCATCCTTAAGAGAGTAGTCATTTGAAATTATTTTTCGGACATCCGAAAACATTCAGTTTTTACTATATAAGAAACTTCAAATGCAAAGTTTTAAAAAAATATGTTAATATCAATATTATGTATATTTATATCCATCTGTTATATTACTTCTAATCCGTATTAATTTCAACCTAAAAACATAACATAGAAAAAAATTAAAAAAACTATCTTTTCGGATTATTTCGCTGTTTTATTTTGATTTTTGGTTGCCACCATAAAACCAAAACCAGCACTTTGGGAAGCAAAAATTAAAATAAATCCGCAAAACAATCCCAAAAGATAGTTTTACTTAAAATATCAGATATTCGCGTAAATGTAAGAAAAAAATTATAAGTAAAAAAAAAACATTTTTTCTATGCAATTCTGATACACATAGCTAATAAAAAAAATACTTATAAAAAAACTTCTTTTTCAGGCAATTCCGACACACGTTTCCTCCACCACCTCTCTCAGAAACAGACAGACAGTCTCTCCAGCCTTTCTTCTCTCCAGGATAAATACACCAACGGACATACATCTGACCCTGTGAGTATTATACATACATACTAGTGACCTAGCTAGATTAAAAGCCAGTGGTAGCCCAGTGGTAACGCGCTCGCTTGGGAAACCGAATGAAGCGGGTTCAATTCCCGGGTCTCACATCTCTGATATTTTCATGTGCGAATCATTTCCAACATGATCACCATTTGTTTTACGGTGAAGGAAAACATCGTGAGGAAACCTGCATGTCTGAGAGAACCTAGCAAGTTCTCCAAAGACATGCTCAGTCCGCCCGCACTTGGCCCACGTAGTGGACTATAGCCTGATCCCCCTCGTACTGAAGAGAGGCCCACCCCCAGCAGTGGGACGTTAAAAAGGCTGAATACACTATTTACTTACCCTTACTTCACTCGAGTCCCTGACCTTTACTCCAGTTTATAGCCTATCTGTGTTCTAAATCTTATCCAAATCCGTCCAGCCGTTTCAACGAGAAGGACAGACAAACTTACATATGTACGTAAAGTCTCCCAATTAAAATAGTGGTCCATTTTATAGATATATAATTATTAATTTTAGTTATTAATGACGTTACACACTCTCCACTACGCGACAATAAGTATTAGTTTATTCTCTTACAAACTTTTGCATTTTTCGTATTAATAAGATTAAGAGGAACAATAAAAATGTTTTTCCACGAAAAAAAAATATTTTAATATATTTCACTAAAAGGGACACAAAAAGATTGTAGGGGGCCCGAAATATACATAAATCATTAAATAAATATTTACAAATAAAATTGGCTTTATAAAAAGCTAAACGGTTCTCGGTTTTATGTTATTTTAATGTAAGCCTTGTTTTATTTGATCAAAATTTTGTCATACGCAGAACAATAATCAAAGTTTCATCACAATCGGATGAATGGTTTAGGAATGCGGAAAGAACAAATATGCAAAGAAGCATTCATATTTATCTATACTAATACTATAAAGAGGAAATTTTTTGTTGTTTGTTTGTTTGTACCGAATAATCTCTGAAACCACTGGACCGATTTAGATGAAGTTTGGTAAGAAAACAGTTTGAGACCCTGAAAAGGACATAGGATAGTTTTTATCCCAGGAATAAAAGTCTGTATGGGGAATCAACCAATTTAAAAAAAAAACAATGAATATTTTATATTATTTTACAATATTTTAATAAAGGTATCTGGTACGCCATTCCCATTTAAAATTTTCCAAAAAATTACAATAACATAAATGTGGTTTCCAGCAAAAGGCGCGCCCCGCCGGCCGCAGCTCGCTGCGCGCGGTGCGCGTGAAGCCCGCGCGCCCCGTCTCCGCCTCCGCCACGCGTGAGTACCACTACATAGTTTAAACAAAATCGCTTCCCGCTGTCTGTCCCTATCTATGCTTAGATCTTTAAAACTACGCAACGGGTATTAATGCGGGTTTTTTAAATAGATAGAGTGATTCAAGAGGAAGGTTTATATGTATAATATATGCATACAATACGTACAGAAATGCCGAGAAATTCAAAGATTTGTATTTCATACTAACCCTTAAAAACGTACCTAGGGACGAACCCGAGCACATAGAGGGTGAGTCTCTAGTATACGTTGAAATTACAATTTTAATTCAATTACTGTAAGGTCGGGAGCCAAAAATGAAAATAAATCCGCGAATATATCCAAAAAGATAGTTTCATTTACAATATCAAATATGGATGTGTTACATACACATTTGTTGGAGTATTAATAGATGTGTGCGTTTGTGTGTGTATGTGTGTGTGTGTGTGTTGTTTTTTAATGTCCAATGTCTGATGTCTAATAAACGTTTCCAGCCGCGCCCGTCCCGCCTCGGGCAGACTCATCTTCCTCACCACCCACTATCAACAACTTCGGGATCCATCACCCGCCACACAACAACCATAGCGACGATGAAATCGTAGAGGTGGGTATATTATAATATAAAATTAAACTATAGTCTTAAGTGATGATTTTTGGTATTGGTTGTGTGAATACGCATTTCAAAGTTAAGATTTATAAGTTTAAGAACTTGCAATTTAATTATAGCTTATTTATTAAAAAAGTAAGGCTATCTCACAATATGGTACGCCCCTCAGAAATTGAACAAATAGTTATAAATAAACTACGCGAGCGGAGCGATTAACAAAAGCTAGTAAAACAAAAAAACACTAAAAAGGATAAATTGAAAATTTTAGTAAAGCAAAATTTTTTTAGGGGGTATAGTCAAAGTAATAGTACTTAATTGACATCATAAAGAAGTAGAGCGCGTGCGGTCACCGTACAAATGGTATAATTTTTGTGTCTTCACGTACATATTTATTAACATTTTTTTATTAATAAATTCTATATCACTAGTCTATTGAGGAATTATAACGTATCAAACTTAATTTATTTACGAAATATTATTTATATTACAGGTTCCCTACAAACCAAAAAGTCCGGAAATAATCGATCTCGATGAATATCCGGAAAGTCCACAAGGCATTAAGAAGAAGAAGCTAGAAATTCTCAAAGAAAGGGGCCTCGAAGTAACCGCGGTGCCCCCCGGCCCCGTCTGGCCACATCCCCCTATGAACCCCTTAATAACCCCTAGCCCTATCATCCTTAACCCTACAATTCAACACCAAATCATGACTCAGGCACAAATATTCCAAATGTATAATATTATCCCACCGACTTATCCCAATGGTGTTCAAGCCCCCAAAGTTATTCAAGCTTCAAGTGCTTTCGGCAATTCTGGCCCCGAGAAAACCGTCTACGGTAATCCTAAGGACCCCTTCATGCCAACCCTTCATGTATTGCAAGGGACCCCTATCAAACCCCAAAGAAGTATCCAAACCCCTCCCTCGACCCCTCAAGATATATTGGACTTAACCTGCAAGACTCAAACGACTCCTATACAAAAACCTGCTGTTGAAATAGTTAGAATACCCCCCGCACCCTCGCCGTCCAAAACCCCCAACACGCCTCAGAACCTAAGCAAAAACTATACTCTTCTTGACGGCAAAGCTGTAGTTGGTTCAAATCTAGAAATAACATTAGTAAACGCTAAATCCCAAACACCCCCAAAGAGACCCCCACAAAAACGCTCCTCAAACGGCAAATTTATCTCTGCAAAAACCCCGACACCCCCAAAAGATTACCCCAAACAGTTCCCGTCCCCCAAAAAGCCCTCAATAGTCGTTCCGAACTACCAGATCTCAAATAGAGAAGAATCCCCAACTAGTTCAAAAGACCCCAACGCATTTAAGGGTTCAAACTTAACTCAGATGATGGAAATGCAAAAATCGGTACCTAGTTTGAACCCTTTTATGGACCCCTTGTATATGAATGCGTTTTATAATAGTCTGGGTCCAATGGACCAACGTCAATTGGCAATGTACAGGGACCTTATGACCAACCAGTTCAGGGGTTATAGTGGGTTATTAAACATAGGGACACCGACAACGAAAAATTAGTGATCTAGTCTAAGTTTTACAGTTTTAATCAACACGGTCATTAAGTTGTTATAGAAAGTTTCCTTAGAAAATTTTCAAAAATTTTGGACCCCCCGGAAAATTTCCAAAAATTTTTGAAACAAAAATGGCCGTGGGATTGAATTTGTAATTTTAATTTTATTGTGATATGGAATAATGATAAGTTGATCTCGGGTTAATTTAGAGGGGTTTGGGAGCAATGCGGTCTTTACCACCCACTTTACATGGAATCGTTCTATTGTTGCGAATGACTTAACATATTTATTATTTATTATATAAATAAAAACGGCCATTTAAATATATATATTTATTAATATATGTATATATTTATAATTTTGATATGATTATCATTAATCAAAATGGGACGTGATTATTTATTTATTTGTTTGTGTAAAATTTATTAAAAAAAATACACGTTTTGTTTTACGGTTTGGATAATAATTATTTTTTCATAACTACATATTTATACATACATATTTTTTTATATATTTTATATGTATATAATATATATAAAAAAATCGATTTGTCAAGTCGTTCGTATCACAATTTGACTCCATTTCGGGTGAAAATGAAGTCACTTAGACTTTTTTCTTGTAAATTGTAAATATTACGGTATTATTTCCTTTCTGCCGACACTTGTGTGACGTCGCATTGAGAAAAAAAAAAACAGAAAAAAATACATTTTTTGGGTTTTTTTTCACTATTATTACTGTTTTTTTTTTTGATAATTATTACATATGTTGGAATAGAATTTTTTTTTATTTGTAGACAGTTAAGTTTTTTCGTGACGTCACACGGTCAAGCGCGAATCGTAGTTGAAATGATGAATGTTGTAGGATACGTTTTTTAATTAATTGTAAATAAAATGTGAGACGTCGTCTCTTTGCTGTACAAAATAAATGATTGAAAATTTTATTTTATGTATTTTTATTTAATACTTTGAATTTTTAAAGAGTTTAAAATATTGCTATCTATACATACTAGCGACTCACCCTCGCTTCACTCAGGTTCGTCTCCAGGTAGCTAAGTATTAACGCTTAGTATGGAATAGATTTTTTTTAATATATATTTTTTGTGAATTTTTCCGTTCTTTTAATAGTTATTGTGCTATTCGGGATGAAGACGAATCCAACAAAACAAATATCATAAAAATCGACCCAGCCGTGAGTTTTAAGTTTTGTAACAAACACGACTTTTTAAATAATATTATTTTTGTATAATAAGAAAGTATTATAACAACTGCTGCCAGTAGTTGACTTATTTTATACCGCTAGTTCACTGAAATTATACCAAATCAAATTTTATCATACAAATTAGCAAAACTGTTGAGAAATAGTTTGTGACGAATAAAAAATTTCAATAAAATACCGTAATAACTTAAAATGAAATATACGTAAAATAAGCTTATTTTGAATAAAACTATCTTTTCGGATTTTTCCGCGGATTTATTTTGATTTTTGGTTCCCGACGTTTCGAATGCTTTACAGCATCCATGGTCACGGGAGAGACTGAGATGTTAGATGTCTCGAAGGTATAGTTGTTACAGACAGCCTACCCACAATTTTTCAACAATGATTTCAAAAAATTCAATAATGGCAATAAAGTATCTTACAATATTTGTTGATTTTTATTTCTAAACATTTAAAAAAAATTAAATGATAAAATAAATATACATATGTTGGGACATTAACACACAGCGCCATCTAGTTCCATGGTAAGCTACGAGGCCTGTGTTATGGATACCAGATAGTTGATACACTACACATATATAACTTTAAATACATACATATTATAAACATATTATAATTAAATATAGTAATATTATTTATTTAATTTTAGCTATTATTATTATAAATAATACAATTTTTAAAAAACAACTAACAAGTATGTGTTTGAGACGTCTATAACCTTAAGTCTCCCCTCTTCATAATATTAGCATGAAGTATAGGCAGTGGTAGCCTAGTGGTAACGCGATCGCTTGGGAAACCGAGTGAAGCGGGTTCAAATCCCGGGTCTCGCACCTCTGTGTTTTTCATGTGCGAATCATTTCTAACATGATTACCACTTGCCTTACGGTGAAGGAAAACATCGTGAGGAAACCTGCATGTCTGAGAGAACCTAGCAAGTTTTTGAAAGACATGTGAAGTCCTCCCGCACTCGGCCAGCGTGATGGACTATGGCCTGATTCCCCTCGTACTGAAGAGAGGCCCACCCCCAGCAGTGGGACGATAAAAAAGGCTGAATACATACATACATACATACATGATAATAAAAGTGTCTGTACATGGAAGATATTTGAGGAAAACTACTATTGGGGGCTTTTATTAATGCAATAGAACCCCAAAACAATGATTTTTAGAATTTTTGTCTGTTTGTGCGCGCTTATCTCAGAAACGCCTTAACCGATTTGAATGCGGTTTTCATTAATGTATTGTGATAAGCTTCACTGAACATGTAGTATTTGTTTTATTTCAATCGGTTCATAAATAAAAAGTAATGTCAATTTAAAATTCGACGACACGTTTGGCTCAGTTTGTAGTGACCCTAATTTCTGTGCCAGCGGTCGCGGGTTCGAGTCCCGCTGGGGGCATTCATTTGTGTGATGACGCAGGTTTATTTAAAGTTATGTATGTGTAGTGTATCAACTATCTGGTATCCATAACAGCATGCAGGTTTCCTCACGATGTTTTCCTTCACCGTGTATTACCACCTAATGCGACGCTCCATTGCACGATTGATATTATTATTTATTAACAGGATGTGGTTTATGATAATATTAAATTAAAATATACTATTTGCCAAATTATATTTGAACATGTAAATATTTACCGTAGTGTGTTCTATATTCGATTATGAACGTAGAAAAAAGTATAGGAATTGTCAAGAATCACAAAAACAGTCAAGTACGAGTCGGATAAACACACAAGGATTCCAATTTAGTGGCAATAGATATACACATTGAAATTTTCAACTCTCTACCCATTATGGTTCATGAGATATAGCCCTCTGACAGATGGACGGACAGCGAAGGTTTAGTAATAGGGTTCCGTTGGCACCCTTAAATATGGAACCCTAAAATTAAAAAGCGAAAACATGCGAGCCTCTATACGGCCTAGCTTCTAAACTTGTATAAATTGTATTTAAATAATATTAACGAAAAATTATCAACATCTACATATATATAAATATATATATATAAATCATAAAGGAATATTATTTACTATTATGAACATTATTTCCAAAGTTTTAATAATTCTGCAGGAGATATTATAGTGCAGACACAACGTGCACTCTCTATTCGTGTCACTCTCATACTCCGGTGGGACGACACGAGACACGACCGGTGAGAGTGTCGGCGCAGGACCGACGGCTTTACGTGCTCTCCGAGGCACGGGGGTGAAACACCGCCAACTTCCCAACTCCGGGCTGTTACTGAAACTTACTATACAGAAAGACTTTAACTAAACTTGGCCCGACCCGGGACTCGAACCCAGGACCTCCGGGTGTGCAGCCGTACATACTAGCCACTACACCACCGAGGCAGTTTAATAGGATATAAATAGCTATTAATACGTTTTTCCACGAAACATGAATTATATACGTATTTGAAACAACACTGACCACTTCCGCTATATATTATGCTAATAATTAACATATAATGAATATATATATATATATATATAACAAATAGACTACGTAGATTTGTTTGTACATATATAAAAATATAATATTTTTACTCTATATTGCAGGAATTTTAGGTGTACTTTATAAGTAAGTTAATAAAAAAACGTGTGTGTGTACTTATGTACCACCGCCAACTTCTCAACTCTGAGCTGTTACTGAGGCTTACTATACAGAAAGACTCAATAACTAAACTTGGCCCGACCCGGGACTCGAACCCAGAACCGGGTGTGCAGCCGTACATGCTAGCCTACACCACCGAGGCAGTTGACACCGAAAGAAGTGACAAACATACACACACACCTTTATTACATAATTATGTTTCTAAATATAAAAATAAACAACATAATTAAATAAAATATAAACAAACTTAAACTGCAGACCTTGTCTCACAAAACGCGATAACTGACTAATGACACGAGCTATATTATTATTTAGTTCTACAAAAACATTAATTGTGTTATGACCAAAAATAAAACGTCATATAAAATACGGTTTAGAAAATTTAAAATAACAGACAACCATTCGAAATTCGTTGTTTTATCAAAATGGTTCTAGCTTTGATAGTGGTTGCGGCTATAATAAATATTATCGCCAAAAATAATAATTATTATATTAAAGCACCAACAGATTCGGATTTTGATATTCGTGTGAAGAGATGTGCGAGTGTTGAATGTGCGACCAAAAACCAAATTCAATTTATTAAAAAAAATGAAGATCTATTAGAAAATATTGAAAAATTCGAAGAAAATCATGTCGAAGAAGTACTTGAAAAGATAAAAATTGGATTACGAGACGAATATATGACAAATAAAGCAACAATCAATAGAAATAAAGATGATGTGAGTGCTTCACCAACGTTAGTGAGACGTACAAATTTGAATGATTTTAAACATATTTTAAACTTAGCAAACAAACAAATAAGTAATAGGAAAAATACTGACGATTTCAATGGGTTAAATGAAAAATTAGTAAATAAAATCGATTATGCTGTAAAGAGATTGGTATTAAAATTGGAGAAAGCTAACAACAATGAAAACAAAACAATTTTATCAGAGATACTTTTGAAAGAATATTCAAAAGATAAATATACAAATATATTTAAAAAAGATGACGAAAGATATAAAAGAAAAGCATCGCTAGATGGATATTTTACTAGTTTATATAATAATATATATAGCTGGTTTTGGACGAAAAATTCAACAGATAAACAAACTGAACATTTTAATAATAATGCTAATAACTATTCATACAATGACTACTACAACCAATCGAGAAACAACCGAGATTTAAGATACCAAGAATACACATATAGCCCGAGCTACAACCAAAACTATGCAACCAATAACGATTTGCGTAACAACTATCACAATGGTTATTATTATCCAGTCAATAACAATACTGGTTTATATGATCCAGCTTATAATCTTGGATATAGTCCCTATAATTATAATAACGGATATAATAATCAACTTAATTATAAATATTGGAATGATCTAAACTCTAGTAAGAATCATACCAGGTACAATAATAATCCGACTGGTTACAACCATAATCCGACTGATAATAGTTTATTAAATGGTTATACAAATAACATAGCAAATATTAAGGAAGTGAATGCCAATAACACAACCACAGAGGAAACTATAATTATTGAAGGTTGTGTTTTGTGTGGTTCTTTTGGTTGTCCAACGAATTTTAAGAGGATTGGATTTAAATGTGTTCCAAAATAAAATATGTAAAATGTGTTTTTCTTTTGTTTTTTATAATGAATTGTTGAACTTTCTACATATATTTTAAGTAGTGTTAAGTTTATATTTATAAGTTAATTTAGTTCGAATCGTTTAAATTATAATTTATATTAAAATAATAATTATCATTTTGTTTTTCGCATTTGAAGCACAATATTTATGATTATATCTAAATCTATACAGGGTTTCCCAGAACGTAACGATTACCTGGCATCGAGAGAAAGGTCTTCTTATGATTAGCCAGTAAAAAAAATCAGCGTCTTCGAGATATTTGATCGTTTTCGAGATCGCATTCGAGATCGATTTGCAGAACACTCGGTTCTTAACTTTTTCTTGGTTTTTTTATTTTTAATTTCTAGAATAATCTTCCAATTTTCATGAAACTAAGGGAATGTAATCCACCCCCCCCCCACGACCACCACCACCACCCCCCCCCCCCCTCCCATTTCTCGGTGGTAGCTGGACAGATGGGGCATTTTACGAATTTCTATTCCTTATACATATACCTGCCAACATTTTAAAATCATAAAACTTCAGGTTTTCAATATTATGTTCTCAAACCGGATTCCGATTGGACTAGAATTATAAATAGCGATGACATTTGTAGAGGAAACATTATAATTTATTATTATATAAATCTACACATATAATAAAATTCTAAGTCGAATCTGTACATTAAATATTTTTTGGAAAATCTTATTGTAATAGACGTTATTATCGATACAGAGGCCGAATCTATAGTTTTTAGAATTTTTGTCTGTCTGTCTGTCTGTCTGTTACCGCATCACGAGAAAACCACTGCACAGATTTTGATGAAATTTGGTATGGTGATAGCTGGTTATCCGGGTCAACATATAGGATACTTTTTACCGCGGGGAAACATCTCATTTCTGAGAAAAAATACAAGTAATCTGAACGCGGACGGAGCCGCGGGCAATGCTAGTTAAATATAAATATTACACATACCGGCCATTACTACATAACGTACTATAAATAATTATAATATACATATATAACAAATAGAGTTTGTCAAATTGTTTGTATGGAAAAAATTAAATATTTTTACGTCATTTGTCAGGAATTTTCATATTTAATTCAATTATAAGCGTCACTTGTTATTAAAGGTTAATAAAATATTGTACATAAGTTGATTTTAACCTTCTTCTTATGGCCGTATTGTATTTAGCCCTCTAACATCCCATCGCTGGGCACGGGCCTCCCTTTAATATGCCCACCACGCTGGCCAAGTGCGGGCGGACTGAGCATGTCTTTCGAAAACTTGCTAGGTTCTCTCAGACATGCAGGTTTCCTCACGATGTTTTCCTTCAACGTAAGACAAGTGGTGATCATGTTGGAAATGATTCGCATGAGAATATCAGAGGTGCGAGACCCGGGATTTGAACCCGCTTCACAAGGTTTCCCAAGCGAGCGCGTTACCACTGGGCTACCACTTCAACTACCACTGCCTTTTATTGGTCCTATCGATTGGATATTACATATATTACTAATTTGGATATAATCATGTGTGATGAGAGAATCATCATTGTGATAATGCTATAGTAATCTATACATAAATCTACCTATACATATAATAAAATTGTAACTAAGCCGAATCTGTACATTAAATATATTTGGAAAATCTTATGGAAATAGACATTAGTATCGATACAGAGGCCGTATCTATAGTTTTTAGATACGGCCTTTGTCTGTCTGTTACCGCATCACAGAAAAACCACTAGAGGGATTTTGATGGAATTTGGTAAGGACATAGCTGGTTATCCGGGTCAACATATAGGATACTTTTTACCGCGGGAAAATATCTCATTTCTGAGAAAAAATACAAAAATTGTAGTGTAAGAGTATACTAATATGTAAAACCTAAGAATTTGGTTTTGGTCATCTGAACGCGGGCGGAGCCGCGGACAATGCTAGTTTACTATATAAATAAAAATGAATCACCGAAATGTATGTACGCGCATAACTTCCGATCGACCACCAAATTGGATAATTATTTTTTGGGTTTGTTATTGTCAGGACAAGTTTTGTATAGAAGAAAATTAAAAGAAGAAAAATTTTAAATCTCATGATATGAAAAGTGAGTGAGTGAAATCGTCTTTATCCCGGAAATCATCCCTTTAGGGGGGTAAGAATGGGGTTGAATTAAATTTAATAAAAAGCTGTTTATTTTGACATTACACACTGACACTTCAATTTTATATATCTGTATAGATTATCTAACTTTTGTACCTAAAAACCAACCGATACATCTTTAAAAAAGACAAAAAAAAACAATTATAAAGATCAAAATTTCATTTAATCTTATTATTTCGTATCCACATATTTATATTCTAAAAACATTTAGGGCATCCATATACATATATTTAGGGCTCGTATATATTTAGGGCTCCTCTGTACCAGACCCTAGCACCGCACCACTGTATGCTAAGTCCCAATAATGTTCTACGCCGTGTTTTTGAAACAGTTCCCGCGCTTGTTTCTCTGTTGGCAACACCTGAAATTAAATATTTTTAAAGTGAAACTTCTTTAGAATCGTTGTAATTTGAAACTCGATGAAACGGAAATGCGACACTAGAAAGAGACAAACACATAAATATATAGGATTAAGCCGACGAGAATGTGATAGAATACATTGCCACGTTGCCATGGTGACCGTTGTTATTGTCTGACAAATATATAATATTATATTCTTTCCGTATATGATATTCTATAAATATATGATTGTAATATGCCTTATTTAATTGTTGATTTGTTTTAATTTAATTGCGACATTTGCTAAAGAAGTTACTACGACTTCCTATATAGAAAGACTCAATAATTAAACTTGGCTTGACTCGGGACTCGAACCCAGGACGTCCGGATGTGAAAGCGAACATGCCAACCACTACACCTACACACTCGGGATAAATATTTTAAAATATTCAAGATATCAACTATATGTAAAAAGGGAAATTTTCAAAAAATATAATTATTATATTATATAGTGTTTTTTATAGTGTTAAAAGGACCCAATTTGTCTAAACAAATCAAAAAGAAGAAGATAGAAAATTACTATCTCTTTAGATTTAGTCGCTGTTTTATTTTGTAATTTTTTTTTATAATTTGTTATAAAAAAAAGAACAAAAAAATAAAAGCACGGCAAATTCCAAAAAGACAATTTATGAAAAATATTAAATTCTCACGTAAACCTAAAGTATTTACGGGTATTGAAATATTTCATATAAGACATAGTGGGGGTTCGATTCTCGTCCACTGCACTAACCTTAAACTTGATGTCCCCGAAGGCCCTCTTGGCGACGGTGCCCTCCCATACAAGATGGCAGGAGTTGCTCACGGGAGCACCTTCCGCATCCTTCACCATCTCCTCTTCCCACTTGATGCGGTGCAGCATCAGGCTGGAGATGGAGATCATCACTAATTTTTAGATATACTTCAGATCTTGGCCGCTAATATCATAGTGCTGAATCAACTAGACGACCCGTTTGGCTCAGTTTGTAGTGACCCTACTTGCTGTGCCAGCGGTCGCGGGTTCGAGTTCCGCTGGGGGCATTCATTTGTGTGATGAGCACGAATGTTTGTACTCCAGTCATGGGTGTTTATATTTATAATATGTATAAATTTAAAGTAAACTTGCTCATCTCTTGTATGTATAAATATATGCATACATATCCATACATAATGGTATACATATCCGTGTAGTAATTGGTAATATTTTTTTAGTTCTTTATTTTTTAAAAGGGTTTGATCATAGAGACTGTGCCACCCTTATAGACACTACAAAAAAATCTTATCTATTCTAGTTTTTTAATAATAATTGAATTGGTAATTAAAAATAAAAAACTCGATGGAGTCCCCGCCCCCGCTCACCGCTTGTACTTGGCGTGCTGCCGGGGCCCGCCCTCGGCCACGACGACGCAGCAGCCGCGGTGCAGCACCACGACGCCCGACATGTGCAGCTGCGCGGCGTTCACCTCCACCTTGAACTTGGCGCTCGCGCACTCGAACAGGTCCCTCACTCTGTACACGTGGAGGGTCTTCAGAGTCATGTCTTTGATAATTGGACCCAGTTATGCAAAAAACAGCCATGTGCGTAAAAGTACCAACAGAGTTATAAGCATATTTTATTATAAAAAATAAAATAATTATAAACAATAAACAATACTTATATATAAATATTGTTCAATTTTAAAATAACCAGAAAAACTAAACATAACCCAAGTGCAACTATCGACAGAAAAACGCTTATAACTCTGTTGGTACTTTTACGCATATGGCTGTTTTTTGCATAACTGGGTCTAATTACTATGAGGACATATTGACAGTGGTAGCCCAGTGTGTTTCGCTCGCTTGGGTAACCGAGAAAGCGGGTTCAAATCCCGGCTCTCGCACCTCTGATATTTTCATGTGCGAATAATTTCCAACATGCTCACCACTTGCCTTACGGTGAAGGAAAACATCGTGAGGAAACCTGCATGTCTGAGAGAACCTAGCAAGTTTTCAAAAGACATGTGAATTCCGCCAACCCGCACTTGGCCAGTGTGGTGGACTGTGGCCTGATCCCCCTCGTATTGAAGAGAGACCCACCACTAGCAGTGGGACGTTAAAAAAGGCTGAATACACACTATGAGGGCGTTTTGACCTTTAATTCGTTTTAAAAACTACTACACTCGAGGAGATCCCTCAGTCTGTATACATATGGGGTTTTGAGATAATTGAAATAAATAAATAAAATCGTGTTTTTCATACATTCACACTATATTTTAGAATTCTAAAATGAGTACATACATACATACATACATACATACATACATACATACATACATAACTTGAACGAGGCTAAAAATTAAATATATTAAAGAAAAAAAAAAGATTTTGAATTTATATTACCATTAAAAAAAAATTAAAAAATTACCTTTTATTTAAAAAAAAATATTGTTTTATTCTCACCTATACACAGCAACGTGCACGCTCATGGAGGTGTCTTCTCGAATTTTTCGATCAACCTGTCGATAAAGTTATGTTAATTAGTTTAAATGGATTGGAAATAAAATTATCTTTTCGGATTACTTCGCGTATTTATTTATTTTGATTTTTGGTTCCCGACGTTTCGAATGCTTCACAGCAATCATGGTCACGGGAGAGACTGAGGTTATAGACGTAAACATATCGATCAAAAAAGTACTAGATACACAATCAGCGATAAAAAAATATCCTCAACCGAATGAGCACTCATTTGAAGATTTGAGCGCGCTTTTAATTTAATTTTTTGTTTTTTGTGACGAAAGAAATATTACAAGAATTATTAAAAAAATACGTTCTTAAATCCAACTCGAGTTTTACTGATGATTGAAAAATCAGCCATTAAGCAACGCTTTTGTACTGTAATTAATAGATGGCGCTGTTTGCATTTTATTACGAATTTTTAGTCACTGAATTTTTTTGTATTGGCTATGACTAGCCACTGTCTTTCTCCCTCTCTTACTCTTTCTCCACTCCAACTCACCTTCTCCCTCTTCTGCTCCTTAGTGAGGGCCCTGGCCTGGTTGGCCTCCTGGTGGGTCTTCTGCCTCTTGGCGATCTGCTCCCGGACCTTGGCCTCGATGGCGGTGGGGTCCTGCACAGCTTCCGTGCCGAGAGCTCGCATCAGGTTAGATATTCTGGGGGAGAACGATTGTTTTATTAAACAGCTATCTGCCAGTGAAAGTCCCGTCAGAATCAATCCAGCCATTTCAGAGATTAGCCGGAACAAACAGACGGATAAAAAAAAATGTCTTTTTCTTATGAGTTCCGTATATAATTTCATATGCATTTAGTAAAAAGCAGCTATTTCTCTAAATTTTTAGTCATAATAATTAAGACTAAAGATTGTCAAAAATTAAAAAATTAAACATTTACCTAAGTTTAGGTTCAGGCGGCGCTTCGAGGCCGAGTCTAACCTTCTCTTGCTCTTCTTTCCACGCTTCTCTTCTGCTTTGTCTTCTTAGCTTCTTCCTTTCCTTCTTGGTTAAGAAGACCGGCATGTATGTGGGTTTGAGAGGTTCGGCTGTGAAGTTAAATAAACATTTTACATATAATTAATGTATGGGACTCGTCAAAACGATTCAAACTAGCCCAAGCTCGAATGCTTTACTAGTATCCATTGAAGAGTTCCACCATCTAATCTGTGATCACCGCATCACAGAAAAACCACTGGAGAGATTTTGATGAAATTTGGTATGGTGATAGCTGGTCATCCGGGTCAACATATAGGAAAAAATACAAAAACTGCAATGTAAGAGTATACTAATATGTAAAACCTAAGAATTCGGTTTTTGGGGGCGGAGCCGCGGGCAATGCTAGTTATAAATATAAACACTCTTGACTGGAGTACAAACATTCGTGCTCATCACACCAACGAATGCCCCCAGTGGGATTCAAACCCGCGTCCGCTGGCACAGCAAGTAGGGTCACTACAAACTGAGCCAAACGTATCGTCCAACTAATAATTATCTTTCATAGCCTTCAAATCAAGTCTATTTACGTTATAAAATAATGATTATCCCTTATATATACTAACTGGGAGGTCGCAACTGTTGAGGATGTTCCACGAGGTTGGTGATGGCGTCTTCATTAACATTGTCCACGATGTCGTCCTCGCCGGTGTTGCACGCTTCAACACGCTGCGTGTCGGTGCGTGCATCTGGTTTGTCACTCTTCCCTCTCTTACGCTTTGCTTCACGCTCTTCTGGCGTCATTAGGATCACGCTGTCCCACCTGTGGGTGAAAAATTGTTAAGTAATTTTTGCCCAACACTAATTTCCCACGGGATTGGTATTGTGTTTGACAATATTACACTAAATCGTGAAGAATACAGACGATGAGTCCAATCTCCATAAGTTTTCATGAGAAATCCGTCCGAACAACAATGTTAGAAAGTTTGTATGAAACCTACCTTTTTAGACTTTTTTTTGTAGTTTTAACGCGAGCGAAGCCGCGGGTTTTGGTTGTTTTAAATAAAACTATCTTTTCGGTTTTTTGCGGATCTCTCCCGTGACCATGATTCTGGAAAGCATTCGGAATTTCGGGAACCAAAAATCAATTTATATCCGTCAAAAATTCGAAAAGATAGTTTCATTTAAAATAACCTTCAAAATCCGTTTGGAAAAGGCAAAATATCCGCAACGCCTTACACCAAACGACATACACTAAAAACCCCCCCATTTTGAGAAATCACACCCTAACTTCCGTAGCCTCCCCCGAGAAGAGAACCCACTCACCATTCTATATCAGGCACGCGGTCCGCGTCGGGCGCGTCCGCCGCCAACAAAGCCAGCTTCGTAGCAGAAGAGATACCAGTCTTGCGAGCTATTTGGGATATCTCATTCTGTAACTTTTCTAGTTGCGCCTGCGGATTGGTAATAAAAAAAAATGTTTTATTTTTCTGTCTTTTTAAAATTAAAATATTAATAAAAAAATATGTAAATATATAGAATTAATATGTCTATTTAAAAAATATATATTATGCTCTTAATGTTTTTTGTAACACTTTTGAAGTATTATGAAATACATGCAATTAATTTTTTTTTAAATATTATCATTTTTCTTTGTTTTCCAAAAATCTTGTTCAAAAATTACTTTCATCTTGTAAAATGAACCTACCACTATCTTCATCCTCAACTGCTTTACCATGAGTATAAACTTCTCAGACTTGTGAAAGAAAGGGCATTCTATATATTTACCATAAACATACCCTACTTTCTCTTACTCTTATCCTCAACTCTTCCTCCATGATCGTGAGCTTGCCGGGCTCTTCTATCTATCCCACTTTTCCCCACTCACCTTCATCCAAAGCCGCTGCGTCATTAGCGTGAACTTGCTGAGCTCCTGTATCTCCCATTCTCCCCTATCCTTCCACTCTCCTCCGCCCCCTATTTACCTTCGCCCGGAGCCCCTCCGCGGTGCGTGAAGTATCCTTGCCCCCGTATCCCCCCCGCACCCACCTTCATGCGCAGCCGCTCGGCCATGAGCGTGAAGCGTCCGGGCTCGTGGAAGCGCAGTGCGCGGCGCGCGCGCGCCGGCGGGCGCTGCGCCACGCGCGCGTCCTGCCACGGCGCCGCGCCCGCGCCCTCCGCCGGCCCCGCCAGCTGCAGCCGGAACTCCTCGCGCCGCTTCGCCCTTATGTTAGCCTGACATATATACATACATACATTTTTTTTATTGCTAGACTAGCCACTCACCCTGGTTCCGTCCCTAAGTACGTTTTAATTTTTTTGAGTGTAACCCTAATTCTATTTCTGAAATAAAAGTAGCCTATGTTACTCCTCGTAACATCAGCTATCTTGCAGTGAAAGTCCCATCAAAATCAGTCCAGCCGTTTCAAAGATTATCCGGAGTAAACACACAGACAGACAAAAATTTTAAAAACTGTGTTTTTCTTATAAGTATCGTATATAATTTCATATGCATTTAGTAAAAAGCTGTTATTTTGACATTACACACAGACACTTCAATTTTATTTATCTGTATAAATAGAGACGCGCTTGACGACAATCAACGCTAGGAAGAGCTGATAAAGTCTAGATTGGAACACCCTTGAAGATGCCCATTCAGTCTTGTCTTGAAGATACTTATATTATAGTGATAGGTAGGAAACACGGATGCTGGAAGGGTGTTCCACGTCTTAGCAATTCATTTCAAAAACGTAGAACTAAAGATACATAGATTTACAACTAGCGACTCACACTCCGTTCAGGTTTATACCTAGATTACTTCCGTATACAAACTTTCATCCCCTTACGGAATGATTTCCGGGATAAAAACCATCCTATATCCTTCCCAGAGTCTCATACTATCATCTTACCAAATTTCATCTAAATCGGGTTAGTAGTTTCGAAGCTTATTCGGTAGAAACAAACAAAAAAATCTTTATAATATTTAGTATAGATATGACAATACTTGAGTGTTTGCATATATGTGTGCGTGTATGTATATGTATATGTGTATGTTTATTGCTCCTGAACGTTTCGCTTAATCACATTCAAGGTGTTAATGAGTGAACTTTATTTAACAAGATAGAAACTAAAATTGAAGAAAAAAAAAAGAAACCTAAACAATTTAAAAAAAAAATGTTACCACCACAAAAAAACCACATAACCAAAAAATACCATAGACAAACCTTCAAAGTAGGCGCTACGTGCGTGAGCTGAACACGTTTCCCCGTCGTGTCCACGGTGCGGCCCTCGCGGTCCAGGATGAGCGGCGCGGGGCCCGCCGCGCCCGCCGCCGCCAGCGCGCCGCCTGCCGGGGACACTTACACACCACGGGCACCATCTGGGCCTGGTCCTGGTGGAAGACCCTCAGAAGCCAGAACGACCGAGATCAAGGTCTTGGTGGAAGACTTTTAGGGCTCACGACAACCAGAAACATGGCCGCAATAGTCACACAATCGATTAACTTTAACTACCTTTTAAATAAAACTATCCTTTCGGATTATTTCGCGGATTTATTTTGATTTTTGGTTCCCAACGTGGGTTCATGGTTTGGTTGAGAACCAAAAATCAAAATAAATCCGCGAAATAATCCGAAAAGATAGTTTTATTTAAAATGTCAAATATTCGCGTGAATCTAAGAAAGTATTAACTGCCTTGTCGGTTTGGTGACTTGCGTGTTTGGAGGTCCTAATTTCGAGTCCCGGATCGAGCCGAATATAGTTTTTTATAGAGAAACCTTTAGTAGAAATTCAAAATTGGAAATCTAACCGAGCACTGTGCTTGATCACGAATATTTTCAAATGTACTTATAAAATGTCTATTTAAATAAAGTATATTATGATCACCGATCAAAAAAGTACTAGATACACAATCAGCGACAAAAAATGTCCTCACCGAATGAGCGCTCACTTGAACATTTGAGCGAGCTTTTAATTCAAACATTTTTTTGTGAATACAACTTTAAGCATTGCATTTAAGGTTCAATTTACATTGTCGTATATTTATATCAACTAGAACAATTACCTAAACACAATCGGTGACAGTTTTAAGAGAACTTTTACATGGGATTGTGTATCTAGTACTTTTTTGATCGACGATTATGATTTCATTCGAGTAAAGTGAAGCAAAATAGAAGAAAGTGTTCAAACCAGCCAACTTCCTTTGTATCCGTGCTTGAAGTTCGGCTATCTTCCTTTGCTTTTCCAACTCTTCAGCCGTAATGGGTTGTGCCGCTGAAACAATCAATGTTAGAAATTGTACATACGAGTATATCTGTTTTATATTCCTTAAAAATTGCTGGACTGATTTTGATAGTGTTATTAGTATTATACGTTTTTAAGTATGATCAATAAGAACATTTTTTTTTTAATTTTAATATCTGAAAGAATTGGTAAACCTTAATTCTGGCTATTTATTTTTCAGGCTATTCATGTTTATTTGAATAAACAAAAGATGTTGATGATCCTTTAACGATTATATATATATAATAAAATTGTAACTAAGCCGAATCTGTACATTAAATATTTTTTGGAAAATCTTATTGAAATAGTCATTATTATCGATACAGAGGCTGAATATATAGTTTAGTTAGAATTTTTATCTGTCTGGGAACGCATCAAGAGAAAATCACTGGTCACATTTTAATGAAATTTGGTATGATAATAGCTGGTTATCCGGGTCAACATATAGGATACTTTTTACTGCATTAAAATATCTCATTTCTGAGAAATATATATTAAGCATTAAAACTTGACATTAATGTGAACTATTTTTTTTTTTGTTCTTAATTAAACCCAATGACACAGCCTAAAAACACCAAGTGAACTCACCAGGCTTTGAATATAGCAATGGTTTGATGACGCTCGGTGGTGGTATAGCACTGGACGGTAGCGCTGCCTTTATCTGCTGGGCTGTGGCCGCTGCTGCGTTCACATTGCGGGGCTCCCCCTTGATGGCCATGAGAGCCCTCTTCCTTTCTTCTATTTCTTTTTGCGCATTTGCCATCATTAGCTTGAATGAAAAGAAAAAAAACAATAACATATTTACAATCTCTATATACAGTAATACTCCGACTTACGCTACTTTGTTTTACGCGAATTCGGAGATACGCGATTTCTCTTTTTGATTGCCGCGTGCATCAGCTCTCACACTTTGCCATTTTAATGTTCCGTTTACGACAGACTCGAACGTGTTACGCGTGGAATTGTTTTACGTACGCTGTGCGTTTTATTGATAACCTCTAATTATGTCATCCGAAAGAACAAAAAATGAGTCATTTGAACCTAACAAGAAAAGAAATCCACTTTCTTTGGAGCATTAGCTGAATTTTATCAAAGACTTTAAAGCAAAAATAAAAATTATTGGCAAAGAAATTTGACCTATGACCAGAATCAAGTATCAAAATGGACCGGAAGTCAACGGATATTAAAACTTTACTCCGACTTAACGACAAACTTAACATCATTAAAAATATCTTCGGTTTACGTTGTTCTATGAACAACAATGAAAATTCTTCTTTTGTCATGTATTATCAAACATATTTCTTCTAAATTACTGTTTTCTTTAGACTCTGGTCCCGATTAAACACACTTTATATGTATTTATATGCAAAGTTGAACGACTTACGCGAATTCGACTTACACGGCTATCGCTCGGTCCCACCTATCGCGTAAGTCCGGGTATTACTGTACATAATTGTAGTAGGTGCATTTTAATTTTTGCGAGTGGAATCCTAATTCTTTTTCTAAATTAAAAAATAGCCTTTGGTTATTCCCTATAACAGTCTTAGTTTCGGAGATTAGCCAGAACAAACAGACAGACATACGAAATTTTTAAAAATTATGTATGTATATAATTTCATATGCATTAAGTAAAAAGTTGTTAACTTTATTAACTAACTTGACTAATTTTAAAGAGTTTGTTCTTATTTTTTTTTCTTATATCTGACGATCTCAATTTTCATGTCTTCAAGAAATGAGGTATGATTGTCATAGTACCAAACATAAACAATATATAATTCAGCACTTATCGTCCCACAACTGGGCATAGGTTTGGTCTGATCACCCATTAGACATTATAAACACCTGCACTCTCTATTATTATAATCTATCTATAATTTTTATAGCCACTCATGAGAACTTACTTTGTTACGCATCATTTTTAAAAATAGCTTATGGGTTTCTAAGTACATAATATGCTATCTGTGCCAATTATTTTTGAAAATTTATATAAAAAGAATACCTTTATTTTATCTGCACTCAATCCAGTCATTTTGGAGCCAATAGTCTCTCCTTCAGGTAACACAGAAGGAATTTCAATTCCGTTATCAGCTTTCTTCTCTTTCTCCTCTCTATCTCTATCTCTGTCCCTCTCTCTTTTCTCTTCACGGGACTCATGTCTGTCATCATGGCGTGATCTGAAAATATAAATTACAAATCAATCAATCAAATCTAGTCATATTGGCCTTCGGAGACTACAATCATAGAAAATCATACAATTAGAAGATATGTAATATACTGCATGTCTATGATGGACCTGAATGGAGCAGGCGCCGAGAGGGCTGGGCACATTACTATTGTTTAAGTAGCCAAGCCATTCTGTATAGTTAATATGTAAAAGCAAACATAAAATATGCTTAGAAATTAAAATAAAAACTTCATTTATTGTCCGTCCCAGTCAGTCCCAGTCATACTCAGTTAATACCCCCTTGTAATGTAATGTAATGTAAAGTGGACTCGTTTTCCGCACTTACACTCTCTTCTGGTCCGTTTAATACCCCCTTTAACAATACACATGAGTGTGTACAATTATTTAATGTCCTCATACCGATTTCGATCACGGCGGCCAATCTCATTGAGACTGGGACCCAGGATATTTTATAATGCACAAGTGTGCGCACAATTACAAATACACTCTCTATTCCTGTCACTCTCATACTCCGGTAGGACAACTACTTGACAGGACAGTCAGAGTTAAAGCGCAAAACTAATGGATTTATTTTAACAAAAGTCAAACTTACCTGGGTTGTTTAGTACTGGACAGCTATATAACCCACTATGTGCCAAATATTTTACAAAGTACAATACTTTGGCAAAAATAATAATACAAACATAACCCACCTCCAATAGGGTGATAGAATTTGAAACTTGCTAAACTCATATCTTGAGCCAAATATTATTTATAATATACATGTTTACATATATTTTATCTCAAAAAAACACAATTTGGATACCTTTTAGATTCCTTCTCCTTGTCCTTATCATCATGTTTCCTTTTCTGGGATTTCGATGAGGAAACCAGCTCCTGTGCCAATGCTATAGCTTTGTCCGCTAGCTTACTTGCCTTCTTTGAGTCTATGTGAGATGATATCTTATCTATGATCTTTCGACGATCATATCTAGAAAGAAAGTAATAAAGTTATTAGTTAAATTGACTTTCATCTAACAGTGATCTACATTCTATTGGAATTGTTCTCATTTACAATATCTTGCATATTTATATGGTGTTTAAATTGTACAAATCAGTGTTGACCCTCATACAAGCTAAAACAATTTAAATGCTGAATTTTTTAGTATAATCTTGTATTAACTCACCCATTAGTCAAACAAGAAGAGACTGTAGATAATAAAGAACTATCAGATTTACCGATAGTTCTGTAAATAGCGCGATCGATAGACGATCTTAAGTCTTCCACTTCCCTTCTGGATAGCTGGAAGGCCATGATAAGATGTATAAAGCCCAAAAACACTTTAAAATGATGACTATTGTACACCTTATAGGTTATATTCTAATCCATATAAATATCCCAACATAAAAAGCACAGAGATATAGATTTTAATGTAATACCCTAGTTTTAATATTAAATCTTAGTTTATTATAGGTTCTAAAGAAACATTATATCACATAAAATAATTATTTGCAAACATTTTGGCTTAAATTGACGTAAACAATGACCATCGACAATGAATTATGACAATGTTCAATGTTGATATCACAGATTATAAAAAAACGTATTAAATTATCTCTGGTTTCTAATGGCGACCATAGGTTAATAATAAAGACTGATGAGCAGGGCTGCCAGTTATCAGTCGTTGAAATACCCGACCAATAAACCTTAAAATACCCGGTTTATCCCCCCGGCGCGGTGCCAACTATGAGCAGAAATCCTGAAAATACTTTTTTAAGTAATTTATTCATGTTTTATATAGAATAAAAGAAGGTAAGCTAATGTTAGAAAAAAGTCATTGTAATTAGTTCTCAATTATATAGCTTTGAATTATTACATCAAACATAAAAAAAAACTTTAAATATCAAATTAATCAGCTAAACTAAAATACCTGCTTTCTACTAAAATACCTGTCGAAATTACCCGCCATCAAAAATCGCCTAAAATTACCCGCTTTTCGGGTAATTTAACCGCCAATTGGTAGCGCTGCTTGTGAGTGGTGACAAGGCGGGCTCGTTTTTCGGCCAAAGAATTCAGCGGACTAGAATGCAGCTGGTGTTCTTGCCATTATTCCACGCGGAAATGATTTGTATAGTAATAATTAAATCAATGAAAGTACATTTGTTTTGTATGATTAATTAGGTATTTTAGTAATTTCAATATGCTTCCTTTATTGTAAATAAATACATTCAGCTATAGATTTGTTTGTATTTGTTATGATTTAACCAATAAATATACTTTTTCTTATTTGCATATTTAAATTAATTTATGTCGTTAATAGAATAATGTAAAAAATCTAGATATATTTTTTAAATACCATTTTTAGGGAAAAAAACTAGCAACACATTTGTTTTGCTTGAAATTTTGACAGTTAACTGGACGCTTTGCATTTTCACAAGAAGACTGCAAGAGAAATTTTCATTAAAAAAAAATATTATTACACTTCTTAGTAGCAAATTGAGCATCTCCGTATTATAAAATCTTATAGTAGTAAGGCAAAAGTATTTAGATTATCTAGGTTTTTTAGATCTAACCTCAAAATGTCTGATGATGAAGATGTTAGTGTAGCGAAGAAACCAAAACAAATTCATTATGGATCTCTGGAAGAACAGGAGAAAGCCAGGCTCGCTGCCCTGGCGGCTGCAGCTAAAGAAGGGATTGAGGATAATGGCAAAGATCTTGGTGACATACAAATTTCAAATGGTAAACAAAAATCATACTATGTACTATATATAACATACATAAAAATACTATGTACTATATATAATAATATATAATATACATACTATTTGAATATGTAAAGTTAATAACACTACAGTTTCAGTAACCTAAGAGAATTCTATTTCTAATAAAGTTAAAAAATAAAGAAAACTCTGGTAGCAGTCTGTACACAAGAGTAATAATGTTTTAATGTTAGGCACATATCATTTCAAAAAGATTTAAATAGCAGCAACAGCTCTTAATATTTCATCCATATATTAATTTCTTACTTTGCTATTAATAATATAGCAAAGTAATTAATTTATGGATATTATTAAGAAAATAATTAGTTTATTTCTATCTTTGAATTTTACAAAATAAATGTAGTTAAACCATTTGAGGTATTTTTTTTACACAGAAGAAAGCAACAGCCAAATTGTAAATAGCTGTTGTAAATAATAAAAAGAACTCATCATCACTTATATCATAAGCATATTTTAATCTTTCTTCTAGAATACATGGAGTTGGAAGAAGAAATGTCGAGAGATAAAAAGGCTCTGCTAGAAGAATTTGAAAGGCGCCGTAAAGCAAGACAGCTGAATGTGTCTACCGATGATGATGAGGTGACAATATATTAATTATTTTAAACAACTGTTTAACAAAATCATCACTCGATAAAATTATGGCAATTAATGGTTGTCATTTGGACCTCCATACTTGCAAAGTTTCAAGTTAAGGCAAATAAAAGCTTATGGGTATTTCTCCGAGATTGCGTCCTTCATCTAATTAATATGGCCAAAAAATATTTTCATTTTTGGCTCTATTCAACATACTCTTATGATTAAAGACAGGCCAAATAATATTTGGAGAAATACCCTTATATAAAACCAAATGTAAATATATTTGGATATATAACATTAGTATAAATAATCTATTTCCTTTAGGTTAGAAGAAGTCTTAGACAACTCGGCGAACCAGTATGTTTGTTCGGAGAAGGACCAGCGGAAAGGAGAGTGAGATTGAGGGACTTGCTCAGCTAGTAAGAAAATGTTCTTATTAATCACTACCAACATACCCCCATTTCTTCGGAGTGTGTTCTATATATTATGTTGTAAATTGATAAAAATAGTTATTGCGAGTGTACCTTATGCTATTGTGGACTTTTCTGTAGACCTTTTTAAGATCTACAAATTTCTAGTACATTGTTTTGATGTATCTCAAGGTTTAGACAGCATTAGAAATGTAAATTCCGAATGACAACTCGATAGAACCAGTTACTGTTTTCCTGTGGGAATAAAAGATTTTCCTGTCGTAAAAGGTATCCTAAATGTTGACCCGAGTAATAAATTATCAAATCGGTTAAAATCACACAGATATACAGACATACAGGCAAATGTTATGACGTGTACATTCTGCACACAATTTCATTCATTTAAAAAAAATATTTTATGTACAGATTTCACTTTGTTACTCTTTTATTATATGTAAATAGTTTACGGAGATTGTGTAAAACAAATAAATATTATTTCATGTAAATACTTTATGGTTAAAGCTAGCTTTAATGTCCTTTTGATGGATTTTGGTTTCGGACACAAGTCTCTGTGACTAGAATAAGATAATATAATGCAGTGTGAGTAAGAGAGACAAAAAATCCACCCAATTGGTGGAAAATTAAAATTTGCATTAATTAAGAAGTCGATGTATCCACTAGCCTAGTGGTAACGCGCTCGTTTAGGAAACCGAGTGAAACGGGTTCAAATCCCGGGTCTCGCACCTCTGACATTTTCATGTGCGAATTATTTCCAACATGCTCACCACTTGTCTTACGGTGAAGGAAAATATTGTGAAGAAACCTGCATGTCTGAGAGAACTTAGCAAGTTTTCGAAAGACATGCTCAGTCCGCCCGCGCGGCCAGCGTGGTGATGGTGATCTCTTCGCATTAAAGGGCCCACCCTTAGCAGTGGGACTTTGAAAAGGGCTGAGTACGATCCACTTTTCAGTCTGGGTGAAGACGCAATCCACAAGAAGTTAGAAGAAGAAGAAGCCCGCATAGAGAGGGACAGGGGGCGTGAGGGGACTTGGTACCACGAGGGGCCTCCGGACCTGAGGGATGCCAGGATATGGATAGCCAGATATTCTCTGCCGAGGGCCAAGCAAAGGTATGTTTGATATATTTATTTGGAACAGATGTCTTGCTTTCATGTCATGGGAGAGACTCAAACTGATCGAAATGTCGGGAACCAAAAATCTAAATAAATTACCAAAAAATGGTTTTTTTTTCCTGGTATGATTTGCTTTTGACTATAAGCAAATTTGTTGAGAGATTGCTGTCATGTGGAGTGGATCCTCATTAGGATATAATCTCATTCATTATTCAGGCTAGAATTTTAATGCTAGTTCTAGTATAGCTTTTCTTTTGAGACGCCTTGGACATTTATGCCATTTATTATTTATTTATGTTTATGTTTGGTTTGGTTTATGTGTAAATTATGGTGGATTTCGTCATTACTCATGAACCACGGTACCTTAGATACTGTACGTAGAATTATGTTTTGCATTCTTTGGAGGATTGTAATATTGGAGTCACATGCGCTATTCCAGAGTTAAGCGCCGTATGCCCATGTTGGTTTTAATCTTCTTCTTCTTCAAGTGCCTCTCCGACTAGCGAAGGTTGGCAGTCAGCTTCGAATACTCCATCTTGTTCTTCGCGAGGCGAAAGAGCTCGGCAGCACTCGCGATTCCCGTCCATTCTCGAATGTTACACAGCCAAGACTTTTTTCTGAGACCAACGGCTCTCTTTCCGGCAACCTTTCCCATCATAATGAGTTGCAAGAGCTCATATCTTTTAAGCCTAAGCACGTATCCGAGATATGCAACTTTTCTTGACAGTGTCCAAAAGTTGCCATTTCTGGTTGACGCGCCGCAGAATTTCTACGTTCGAAACCTTTTGAGTCCAACTAATGGCCAACATATGTCTGTATGCCTTGGTTTGGTTTTAATATTGATGTTTAAATCAGTAATTTGTTGTCTACCGACAATTTGAAATTTTTACAACAGCCAGTGGAAGTGTTTGTAACGGATGTTTAATTTATCCCTATCTCTTTTGGTTTTATATGCTTTTTCCAAGTAATTTTCCTGCCCAAACCACCAAAAACCAAAGACCAAAAAATGTAAAGAGGTAGTTTCATTTGATTTTTTTTTGTTACTATGTATGGATATACATATAATAAAATTATGAATTGAAACCATACATTAAATATTTTTTGGAGGATCTCATTGAAATAGTCATTATTATCGGTACAGATGCTAAATCTATAGTTTGTACAATTTTTGTCTGTCTGTCTGTCTGGGAACGCATCACGGGAAAACCACTGGACAGACTGTGATGAAACTTGGTAAGATCATCTCATCTCTGAGAAATCTATACTAACCATCAAAACTTAACTAGAGACGGTGAGTCACTAGTGTATTATAAAAATAATATTTTATTATAATAAAATATTATTTTTTATAATTATTTTATTATACTGTAATATATTTTTAAAAATAAATATGACACTGAACACGATGATCACGATGATTTTGATGTGTGTGTTGAGGGGTTCCCTTGATGGATGAATCCAAGCTAAAGGTTTATATATAAATATCAACTTCTTCCTCTATTCCAGACTAACCAAAGCCCGCGAAGAGCTGCAGCTGGCGGGCAGCGTGCGGGCGGCCGCCAAGCAGGAGTCGCAGAGGAAGGCCTCCGCCATGTCGATATACTGCAGTCAGGTTAGACAGCATTCATACTTAATATTATAAATGTGAAAGTGTAAGTTCTTACTGTGTAGATCAAAATGATAGCATTTCTGATTAATATTTTTCAGTTTTTCATTTGTAAATGTATGTAGTAATGTGTTGCTTAAAAAATTGTTTTTAAATAATAGCAAATTTAAATTTATATTATTATTTTTAATTAATCTTAACTTTTTCAAATTACACATAGATCAATTGTGGCTTAAATAATTAATATATTATGATTTTTTCTTTATGGTTATAAATATAATAATGGCAACACTAAAAATGTAGATTAATAATTAATATTTTTTAAAATTGTAATAATTATAATAATAACAGCTTAAATTAAATAAATAATATTCTATATTCAATTATAAAGCTAATTAAAATTATATAAAGATGTTTAAAGTTAAAAGTTAAAACATTGTAAGGTACTTTAGTGCCATTCTTCAATTTTTTGAATTCATTTTGTTATTTGTGGGTAGCTGTCTGTAACAACTATATAATACCTTAGAGACATCTAACACCTCAGTCCAAAGAGTATAGTTATAATCTGGGCCTCAGTCTCTCCCGTGACCATGATTGCTGCAAAGCATTCGAAACGTCGGGAACCAAAAATCAAAATAAATTCGCGAAAAAATCCGAAAAGATAGTTTTATTTAAAATGTCAAGTATTCCCGTAAATCTAAGAAAGTATAATGTGAAAGTGTGTTTGTTTGTCCTTCTTTCACGTCGAAACAGAGTGACGGATGGGCGTGGTTTTTTGTGTGTAGATAGTTGGAGGGCCGGAGAGTGTAATACAATTATTTGACAAATTATAATTATTCTTAGCTAAATTGTTACATTACAAATGATTGTTTAAAGATCGGCGACACGAGGCCCGTGAGCTTCTGCAGGTTCAGTTCGGACAGCCAGATGTTGATCACGTCCAGCTGGTAAGGGATTTTTTTTGTATTCATTATAAAAATTTAAGTAAAATACTAGCGTTACGTCTTAATGTTTAGTATAGATTTCTCAAAGATGAGACATTTTCCCGCAGTAAAAAGTATCCTATATGTTGACCCGGATAACCAGCTATCATTATACCAAATTTCATCAAAATTTGTCCAGTGGTTTTCTCGTGATGCGTTCCCAGACAGACAGACAGACAAAAATTCTAAAAACTATAGATTTGGTCTCTGTGTCGATAATAATGACTATTTCAATAAGATTTTCCAAAAAATATTTAATGTACAGATTCGGCTCAGTTAGAATTTTATTATATGGATATTATCAATTTTTCAAGTCAGGGCTAGTCAAAATGGTCTGTGCCGAGTTTGTCTATTTATTTGTTTGTCTGTCTGTCCGTCTGTCAAGTAATTTATATAGATATTATTAATTTTCCAGGTCAGGGCTGGTCAAAGTGTGGTCTGTGCCGAGCTGCACGGAGTTACAGGTGTTGAAAGGACACACATGCAACGTGAGTGCGGCAGTGTTTCACCCCGAGGCGGTGTTGCCTCATCATTTCAGTCAGAAGGTATGTGGGTTGGTTTCCGGTTGGGATAAATTTTGTTATGGGCCTTAAAAAAAATTTTTCTGTATGAAAAATTATTGTTCGTATGTTGGTCCTCTATGTGTTCCTAAACTATTGATCCGATTGTTATGAAACTCTGTTGGGCTACACTTTATAGGTTGCGAAGGTTTCTGGTGAAAAAAAAAAATTTTACATTAAAAAAAATCCCACCCCCTAGTGTGAAATGATTTTGAATTCGTTTTTGCTTTTCAGTTCCAGTTTAATTATATATATATATATATATATATATATACACATATGATGAATATTAAAAATTAACTAAAAAAAACATTAGTTTAAATTGACATTACAAAAAATATTAAAAAAAAGAAAAAATCACAGAAAAAATTTGCATAAAACAAAAAAATATATATAATTAGTTGAATTGAGAACTACCTCTTTATTGGAATCCGGTTAACTTGAAAGTGAAATATAAAATGTTAGGTGATTTTCTTCCACATATAATCGGTTTTCTAGATAGAGAACGAGAAAGAGAAAGAAGAAGATGGAAAGAAGACAGAAGAGATGGATGTAATAGATGAATCCGCCAAAACAGTTAAAATGGCGTCTTGCGCTTACGACGGATCTGTTCATCTGTGGAATTTTGTGAGGTAATATTTTTATTTTAGCTGCTATTTAACATATTTTACTCTAATTTGATTTGTAAATATTAATATTTGAAATTGAAAACATTTTTAAATTCATATAAAATGTAATACAGATAAATAAAATTGAATTGTATGTGTGTAATGTTAAAATAACAGCTTTTTATTAAATTATATGAAAGTATATACGGTACTTATAAGAAAAACGTAATTTAAATATCAATTTTTTTTTCTTTAAACGTCCGGAATCAACAATCTAAATAAATTCGCGAAAATATCCCAAAAAAATATACTTTTATTTAAGTTATATAAATACAAAAGAAAAACATAATACTTTGTTAGATTTGCGCGAATATTTGACATTTTAAATAAAACTTAATTTTCGGATTTTTTTGCGGATTTATTTAGATATTTGGTTCCCGACGTTTCTTATTCAAAAGAAACATAAAACCTTGTATGTGTATAAAATTTGACGACACATTTGGCTCAGTTTGTAGTGACCCTATTTGCTGTGCTAGCGGTCGCGGGTTCGAGTCCCGCTGGGTGCATTCATTTGTGTGATGAGCACGAACGTTTGTGCTCCAGTCATGGGTGTTTATATTTATAATATGTATGTATTTAAGTTATAGTAACTGGGTTACCGAGCTTCGCTCGGAGTTTTTGGTCAAAAGAACAATTTTCTTTAAAAAATTTTTTTGAATAAATACAAAAAAAAGTAAAAATAACCGACCGGGTTTCGAACCCGGACACACCTATGAGTGTCTTGCGACTTAGCCGCTTGATCACGATGCTTATATCGGAGCGTGCGAAATTATCGATCATAATTTGAGTTGAATAATGCGAAAGAAAACCGCATGAAAATTCAAAAACCCGCGTTTTTTCAGACAAAAGACTAATCTAGATCGATTTATCGCCCCTGAAACCGCATGTATACTAAATTTCATGAAAATCGTTGGAGCCGTTTCCGAGATTCAGATTATATATATATATATATATATATATATATATATATATATATATATATATATATACATACAAGAATTGCTCGTTTAAATATATTAGATATGTGTAGTGTATCAACTATCTGGTATCCATAACACAAGCCTCGTAGCTTACCATGGAATTAGATGGTGCTGTGTGTTAACATGTGTGTACCAACATATCTATTAAAACAACACTCGATGGTCTTAGCGAGGCGCCGCTGGCGTCGCTCCCCGGGCACGCGCCGGCGCGGGTGTCGCGCGTGGCCTTCCACCCGTCGGGGCGCTTCCTCGCCGCCACCGTCTTCGACAACTCCTGGAGGCTCTGGGACCTGGAGTCGCGTGAGTGCCTCCATATTACACATCCTAACCGAATCCACTCGAATCGAAATGAAACAAAATAAACTTTATACAGATAGACTTTTAAAAGCTCTTTTAATCCGAAAATTTTATACATTTTAAGTTTAAATTAAATATCAGTGTGGTCAAGTCCGTGAGAAATCTACCACTCACTATGACTAACTAACTGCAAGAGATATTAACCTTACACGAGACCAACTCACGCTTGACCATTGTTTTTTTTTTTCATTTTTAATTTATTTTATATAATATGTAGAAACCGAAGTCCTCCACCAAGAGGGACACGCGAAGCCGGTGTACAGCATTGCCTTCCAGTGCGATGGATCTCTCGCCGTTACCGGGTGAGAGTTCTTCAATATATACTCGTGATGATGATATCCATACAATCTCACTGAGACCAGCCAATTGGACCCAGTTATGCAAAAAACAGCCATGTACGTAAAAGTACCAACAGAGTTATAAGCATTTTGTCGATAGTTGCACTTGGGTTATGTTTTGTTTTTCTGGTTATTTTAAAAGAACAATATTTATATATAAGTATTATTTATTTTTTATAATTATTTTATCTTTTATAATAAAATATGCTTATAACTCTGTTGGTACTTTTACGTACATGGCTGTTTTTTGCATAACTGGGTCCAATTGTAGAAGATATTATAGTGCAAAAACGAGAGAAAGAGAAAACATAACGTGCACTCTCTATTCTTATCACTCTCATACGCTGAGAGTGATACACCTCCAACTACCCAACTCCGGGCTGTTACTGTTACTGATGATTTCTTAAAAGAAAAACTCGGTAACTAAAATTTAATCGGAGCTGGCACTCGAACCCAGGACCTCCGGTTTTACAGCCGTACATGGTAGCCACTACACCACAGTGGCAGTTAAAACAATATTTTCGAATTATGTTACGGTTTTATTATCGTTTTTGTATGATAAAACCGTGAAATACAGTTGAATATATTTTCACCCTCTTAAGGGATGATTTCCGGGATAAAAAGTATCCTATGTCCTTCCCAGTGTCTCAAACTATCTTCTTACAAAATTTCATCTAAAAAATTTACGTTCGGTTGTATTATGACTTAAATTTTCCACTTTAAATTAAAAATTTAAACAACTACCTTCATGGTTTTTAAATAAGTCTCAAAAGTTATTCAAGTACCCTAAAGGTGCTCTATCTCTGGACTTCCGCTTGACGCTTCTTTCTCGGACATCCTGTATATATAATATATGATAAATACCTACTGTCGTAACTCTCTTGAAGTATAATAATGAATAATTTGAATATTCCACGAACGCAATGTCACGTGCAGCGGTATGGACGCGTTCGGGCGCGTGTGGGACCTGCGCACCGGCCGCTGCGTCATGTTCCTGGAGGGGCACCTCGGCGCCGTGCTGGGCGTGGACTGCGCGCCCGCCGGCCACCGCCTCGCCACCGCCGGCGGCGACCACCAGGTCACTAGTGATTACAGTGTTACCGACGTTACCATGGTGGCTAATGTTACCAGTGGTAACGATGTTACCAGCGTGGCCGTTGTTACTTACGCACACCACATAAAATACTTTTTTAAACGAAACAACGTGCGTTTTAATTTTGTCATCCGAAAAGCGCAAATCAATTTCGAATTACACGCTTCTTTATAATTACACTTTTGAGACGCTAATTTTGGTATAATAATGCTTTACTTACACAAAAGTAATTAAAAATAATAAATATGAGTCTCACTGAGTCTCTTTTGTTGTGTGTTGTTCAGTAAACTTTTTTATCCCTCAACGACCGCGGACACGCCGGCGTGTCAGTTAACAATAGATTTCTTAGAATTTTAATAAATTTCTTAGAAATTCACCAATCAATTAAATACATCAAGATAAATGTTATAATTTTGAAAGATATGTACATAAAAAATTTTGCTTTAAAACTTCAGAAACTGTTATATTCGTAAATGTTTTTATATATAATATACAAGCGAGTCACCCTGGCTTGCTTCCCGGTACAAACTTTCATCCCCATTTTCACCCCTTTAAAGGATGATTTCCGGGATAAAAAGTATCCTATGTCCTTCCCAGGGTCTCAAACTATCTTCTCACCAAATTTCATCTAAATCGGTTCAGTAGATCCAGAGATTACCCCCTACAACGTCACAAACTCACAAACTTTACCTCTTTATAATATTAGTATAGATTGGGATTATAATTTTTATTAATACTTTCTTAGATTTACGCGAATATTTGACATTTTATATAAAACTATCTTTTCGGATTATTTCGCGGATTTATTTTGATTTTTGGTTTGCTGTAAAGCATTCGAAACGTCGGGAATCAAAAATTAAAATAAATCAGCGAAAAAATACGAAAACATAAGTTTATAATTTTTTTTCATTTCCTAGACTAAAATATGGGATCTCCGGAAGCGAGCCGCGATATACACTATACCTGCGCACACGCATTTATTGAGTGGTAAGTTAACAAACAAACACATAAACACATTTTGGATGATAATAGTATATATTATAATATTTCTTCGGTTTTATTTTATTTTTTTGAGCGGAACCCTAATTCTTTTTCTAAAATGGAAGGAGCCTTATTTACTTCTAACATAAGCTATCTGCCAGTGAAAGTCCCCTCAAAATCGGTCCAGTCGTTCCGGAGTTTAGCTTAACCCCTACAAACTGTTTTGAAAGTGAGTTTGAAGCCTATATTATTTTTAATTAAAAAAATATGATTATCTATACAAATATGTATTTAATATATTTTTTTAAATATGTTGGAACACACAGTACCATCTAGTTCCATGGTAAGCTACGAGGCCTGTGTTATGGATACCAGATAGTTGATACACTACACATATACATATAACTTTACATACATACATATTATAAATATAAACACCCATGACTGGAGTACAAATATTCGTGCTCATCACACAAAGGAATGCCCCCAGCGGGACTCGAACTCGCAACAGCTGGCACAGCAAGTAGGGTCACTACAAACTGAGCCAAACGTGTCGTCAGTGTTATTTAATCTGTGGATTTTTTCCAGATGTGAGATACCAAAAGAGTCACGGACATTTTCTCCTGACGTCGTCCTACGACAAGAGCGCCAAATTATGGTCCAATCCCGCTTGGCATCCCCTCAGGACCCTCTCGGGGCATGACAACAAGGTATATATATATATTATGCTTGTATTCAGCCCTTTTTAACCTCCCACTGCTGGGCGTGGGCCTCTCAATACGAGGGGGATCAGGCCATAGTCCACCACGCTGGCCAAGTGCGGGCGGACTGAGCATGTCTACAGATAACTTGCTGTGTTCTCTCAGACATGCAGGTTTCCTCACGATGTTTTCCTTCACCGTAAGACAAGTGGTGATCATGTTGGAAATGATTCGCATATGATATATAATATCAGAGGTGCGAGACCCGGGATTTGAACCCGCTTCACTCGGTTTCTCAAGCTAGCGCGTTACCACTGGACTACAACTGCCTCCATAATATATTATGTTTAAAAAAATTCAATTATTTGATTTTTATAAGATTTCATATTTATGTTAGTGCTTACCAGTCAAAAATTGACCGTAATTAATTTGTAGCGACTTGTTCGTCTCTAGGTATGTTTTAATGGTTAGTATAGTATAGATAGAGTGCATAATCTATACATATACTAGCAGTACCCGCGACTTCGCCCGCGTTCAAACTTCCGATCACTAACAAAATTTACAGGATCACCCGCTGGGTTAATCGGAAGATTACCTGAAAATTTCATCAAAATCACTCCAGCTGTTTTGTAAACCATAGGAAACATACACACATCCATTTTTATTTTATTTAATCAACAATTTAAATTTATTTATTGCTTGGAGTCGAGTCTTTTATGAAAATTTAGTGACACACCGACTGCAGCGCCACCTACCGGGTTCAATATTGTTTTCATACCATCCAGGAGCCCATTGAAATATACACACAAAATTTTATCTATTATATATCTATAACATAATATTTTGGAGGAATAGGTTAACAAACACACAAACAAAAGAATTATATATATTAAGATTTGTACATATAGTAAAATATTTAAATAAACTTAAAATCATCATATATTACTTGATTCTTTTCCTAAAATAAAAGTAACTAAAGTCACTCCTTATAACATTTATCCAGCTGTTTGCCAGTGAGAGTCCCGTCAAAATCGATCCAGCCGTTTTGGAGATTAGCCAGAACAAACAGATTTTTTTTTTCTTATAAGTGCTGTATATAGTTTCGTATGCATTTATTAAAAAGCTGTTATTTTGATATTACACATATAGACACTTCAATTTTATTTATCCGTATAGATTATATATTTAGATATTTTTTTTATAATTTCCAGGTAATGAGTGCGGATATATCAATGGATAACAAGTATATAGCAACATGCTCCTTCGACAGGACCTTCAAGCTATGGGCACCGGACTTGGCCTAATAAATATATGAAAATAATAAATAATTTGTTTTATTAGCAATCTAAACACTTTATCTGTAATATATAAAAGGCAAAAGTGATTGAATGATGTATCATCGTAGAATAAAATGATATCACGAACCCAATCACACATAATGTCCCATTTTTAAAGAGTTTTAACCGACTTCCTAAAAGGAGGAGGTTATCAATTTGTCGGAATCTTTTTTTTTATGTATGTTCACCGATTACTCAAAGACGCCTGAACCTATTTGGATTTTTTTTTGTTTTAAAGGGTATACTTCCCAGGTTTGGTATTGTTGGCTGGCACCGACTTCGAAAATATCTGATTAGGTATCTATTCTAAATAAAAACCTCCGTTTAGTAATTTTTTACATTTTAGTGCCTGAAAGTCGGTTTTTATTTTTTGTTAAAAAGTTTTTATGTTTAATGAGTTTTATTTCCCTTTTTTAAATAGTTTTATTCACAACCTTCAGGTTGAACATTGTTGATGGCCTCTTGTAATGTTATCACGAAAAAAATCATAAGCAAGATTTTCATTATTTTATATTAGTACAAAGATATTATTATGTAGCCATAATATATACTATATATATATATATATATATATATATATATATATATATATATAAAGTACCTGGGCCACCGAGCTTTGCTCAGAGTTTTTGGATAAAAAGTATAATTTTTTAAAAAACATTAAACACATGAATAAATACAAAAAAAACACATCAAGATTTGGTGATGTTTACATATTGCCCATAGGTTTTATCATTTATTTTTAACACTTTTCTTTAGATTATTTCCACTATAATATTTTTAAACTTGATATAAATACGGACACGATGTAGTGTAGACAGTTAGTTGCACAGTGGTGAGTGGGGCCTACAACCTATCAGAAGTGACAACTGACAATGTAAAAGAAAATCGCATGAAAATTCGAAAACTCGCGTTTTTCCAGATATAAGACTAAACTAGATCGATTTATCGCCCCCGAAACCCTCCGTTCAGATTATATATATAGATATATATATATATATAGACAAGTTTATACATGTAGTTACACTGCACAACTGAATAATACAAGTTAATTTTCATAACACTATTACTGAGAACTAGATTTATGCTGCGAGTATCGTTAGTGATAAAAATGAATTGCATAACGTCACATCCCTAGTCATGTGGTACTGACAGAATCGTTGGCTCACTATTACAAGGTTCTATGTTACAATTTTAGTACTTATTTAGTTACTAGCATTGCCCGCGGCTCCGCCCGCGTTAAGATGACCAAACACCAAATTCTTAGGTTTTACATATAAGTATACTCTTACAATGCAGTTTTTGTATTTTTTCTCAGAAATGAGATATTTTCCCGCGGTAAAAAGTATCCTATATGTTGACCCGGATAACCAGCTATCATCATACCAAATTTCATCAAAATCTGTTCAGTGGTTTTCTCGTGATGCGGTAACAGACAGACAGACGAAAATTCTAAAAACTATAGATTCGGACTCTGTATCGATAATAATGTCTATTTCAATAAGATTTTCCAAAAAATATCTAATGTACAGATTCGACTTAGTTACAATTTTATTATATGTATAGATTAATGCTACAAGGTTCTATGTGTCATTAGCTACAGTTTTGCAAAAACAAACCACTAGATAGCGGCACTTTAACTACAAAATATTCAAGTTTACATAGTTCTATGTTGTTTTTTTACGATAACAAAATAACGAAGTTCTATGTAAAAATTTCTAAACTTCATTAAAATTAACATAGAACCTTGTAATAGTAAGCCAACGGGATTTCAACGTCTTATAGGCGACTATCACCCGCACCATGTTACATCGCAAATAGTATTAAAATACCCATCCGTATCGGTAGCGTCAGTGGTTCTAGAGATTAAAACACGTCCACTCCCTACTAGGGATGTGACTTGGAAGGAAAAAATCGATTCTCTTTAAAAAATCGATTTGTAAAAAATCGATTAACTGAAAAGTAATTTTTTTCAACATAAATAATGAGGAGACTGAATAAAATTATTGCTACCAATTTTTAGTTCTATTTAATATTTTACCGAAATGTATATAAAACAAAACGATTAATAAAAAAAAAAGAACGAAATTATTACGCTCGAAACTGAAATATTTGTATTTTAATTTAAATGTTAAGTTTGGACGATGAAAGTACTAAAACACGAGTTATCAACACAGATGTCTATTATCTATCACCTATCATTTTACTAAAACAAAAATTAAATTAAACAATAATCTCAAACAATAAAGTTAAAAACCTTTTCTTTGGGTCTCAAAACTAAAATACAAAAGAAAACTTTTTTTTTAAGATTATTTTTTCACATATAGAAGATTCGGGGGAATGGACAAATAAAGCACAGAGCAGTTTATTTCATTATTATAATCGCAGATTCACAAATCTCTCATAGGTTTTCTTTACTTAAAATAAGATGACCCATTTCGAGCCTGCCCTTCCACACCAGAAGATTCGCTTGTTGCAATGTTCTGATGAATGGTGGCAGTGGTGCCACCGATGGAGATGGTAGTGACGATCGTGCTTCGGATCTATATGGACATTGTAAAACAAAATTTAAAAATAAGTATTAAAACCAGAATAATATCTACTAGATACTCAAGTAGAACTACTTACGGTTCCCACATGCGATTTCTCCAAGGATGCATAACAACGGCTAAATCACGGCCTTCCGGATCCTCCTCGATGTAACGGAAGCTCAATGTAAAATTCAAAACGATTCATTGTAATACCTAATAAAAATAATAAATAAGGTTATTTAAAAAATTGAAAAGATAGCAAAAAAAAGGGGTCACGACGACTGCCGACAGAAGAGAAAACTACAACAATTGTTATTTTTGGACATTCAAATTAATTGTTTGATCTTAAATTAACACTATTTCTTTGCTTTAATGGCTTTAATGCGTGCCAGTTGAGCACGATCTTAAATTAAAATGTGTTAATTAAAACTGTTTACATTTATCTGGTTTTGACATCTATCGGCACTTTGAGTGTTAGTGTTGACACGTCACGTGACCATGTCGATGACGACTCACGTGATTTTACACCCCATCTAAATTTGCCTGTAGAAGTTTTCACTTCATAAACTAACTCGTTCACATCTTATGGTCCTGGGCGCTAGTGTCGGACTACGCTCACCGCCCTGCCACGTCCCTGGAAACCAGAGGTACCGATCACCACAGACCTCCTCCACCTATGGTGGACCACCAAGTCCACCCCTCGAGTACACGGCCGTCTTTGCTGCTGGTTTCTAGAAAAGCGTGTCAAATTAATAGCCTCCTTTTATTCGAAGTCGGTTGAAATATTAAAAATATAAATAAATTCAATTAGATTGAAAGGCTGAACCGATTGCGATGAAATCATCATTAATTATCATTAGTATTAAATACAACATTAGATCAGTTAAAATACTAAAATATTTAAATGTCCAATGAAATTCTAAAAAAATCTTTACCATTAGTACTTACTAAGTAATATCTATACTAATATTATAAATGTGAAAGTTTGTATGTATGTTTGTTACTCAATCACGCCAAAACGGCTGAACGGATCTGGATGAAATTTGGCAAACAGATAGATTATAGTCTGGAATAACACATAAGCTAAGGTTTTTATCCCGGAAAAGTGTACCGTTACCGTGGGATAGGTAGAAAAACATGTATATTAAAATCCACCAAAGTCCATTCCATATTAATCGAAACAAAATGGCGGTTGAGTAAAATATAGCGTCTGGCGTCTGTTGATAAGCGAACTCGTTTTTTATTTCAACGTTACGTTCTGTGCGATAATTTTTAAATTAAATGCTTGGTAAGAATAATACGATACTTAATAAAATACGTGATAAAGACAGTTAGCTATTTTTTTTTATTATTAGTAATAAAACGAAATAATACCAGCATTGTGCCGGCGTGGCGTCCAAATTGGCTACCGATTTCAAAATTATCGAAAATAAAATCACTATTTCTATCCAAAAACTTCAGCAAATACATAATCTAATAATTAAAAACTATTCATTAGTCATTACTTACCAATTCATGATGAATTCAACAAAGAAAATCTCGATATAGGTACTTTATAAAATGAGCAACACGTCCTTTCTCTGAGAGTGAAGAGAACCAAAGAGAGTTTAACCACTACGTTTTAACTAAACTAGGTAAACAAAATCATCAAAAATAACGGCTAATTTTTTTTATCTGCACAAATCCCTTGTTTACTGGTTTTTATTGTGCAGTGTGGATACGCCTGCACCATAAAAACCAGTCTACGAGGTATTTGCGCGGGTAAAAAAATTAACTGCTCGATCCCTTATTTTTTACCGAATTAGTCACTTTTGAACAATTTGTAGTTCAGCACTTGTTTGAGATAACTACAAACATTATTATGAGAATCTGTAGTTAATATCATGTAATTCAATAATAATTAATAAAATAATAATATTAATTGGGCATTTATCCAACTTTTTAGAGAAATTAAGTAAAATTGGGTTATTTTTTCATAAAATTTTGAGTTAATTTATTTAAAAAAATATATTCTATTTAATTTTGGGTAGATTTTATACCTCGAATCGATACATTATGATAACAACTCGTAAAGAAAAACGCAGAATGCAAAAAAATATTAAAACAAAAAAATATCCTAAAAATAGTGCATAAAGTCAGGCTTTCTCTACAATAAAAATTAAAAACCTAATAAAAAAAAACAAACCGATAAGAGCTGTACTTTAATTTTAACAACTCAAAAGTCAAAACCTTTTCCGTTTTAAATTTTTCTGGGTCATCATATAGGAAACTTTTTACCGCGGCAAAATATCCTATGTCTGAGAAAAAATACAAAAACTGCATTGTAAGAGGTAAAACCTAAGAATTTGGTTTTTGGTAATCTGAACGCGGGCGGAGCCGCGAGCAATGCTAGTACCTATATTATAAATATAGAATATAGATATTAGTTAGTTATTAGTTTAAATAGATCGGTTCGAAAACAAAATCATGCTCCAACACATTTATTCATCGTCATTATCGCGCTCACGCGCTCTCCGCGCGTACTCACCGCGTCACAGAGGTACAACTTCTGTATAACCTATCAGTGATCTGTACCTCTAATAATTTTTTAAATGTAGCTCATAGTCATATCTCTAGGGGTTTTTTTTATTTTTTTCATATCTCATTTCGTTTTCGAGATATAAATTCTTTTTCTCACCGAAATCGGGTGAAAATCGACCGCTTTTTCTTATTTTTTCGATTTTTTAAAAAGATTTTGTGTTTTAAAAAAAAAATTTTTGCATTTTGCACTTTAAAGCCCTCGTTAAGACGCGTCTTTTGAAATTCCAATCAGCTACGTAGTCCCAAAAACCCACGACACCAGGGTGATGTCGCACTTTCGCTGAAAATCAGGCCCATACCGAAGCGACAAAAAAAATAATATTTTCAATGTTAAAAAGAAATACGCCAATTGTCTCACAATTGGCGAAGATACTATGTGTTATATCCAAAAAAATACAGATGAAGATTCTGTTGGGAGTTCTCAACAAAATTGCGGTTTGTGCTTGTGGTAGCTTCCTCACTAGCCCACCTCGGTGGGTGGTGTAATATGCGGGTTTTTCCTGGCTCTGATAGCAGAATGGACTGTTGGAGCAACCCCATGGTTCACATAATACTTTCTTAGATTTACGCGAATGTTTGACATTTTTAAATAAAACTATCTTTTCGTATTATTTAGCGGATTTATTTTGATTTTTGGTTCCCGACGTTTCGAATGCTTTACAGCATCCATGGTCACGGGAGAGACTGAGGTGTTACATGTCTTGAATGTATAGTTGTTACAGACAGCCTACCCACAATTAACAAAATTAAAATTGCACCAATTACATTACAATATTTTTTAACTTTAAACATTTTTATAATTTTAATTATAATTGAATATGGAATATTATTTATTCGGGAACCAAAAATCAAAATAAATCCGCGAAATAATCCAAAAAGATAGTTTTATTTAAAAAAAACCCCATGGTTGTTGTGGTCTTCTTCGGTAGACCTGCCGTCGGGGCGTCGTGGTTGAGTGTGTATGCGATCCTGCGACGCCACATTAAGACGGGAAAGGTTCCGTTGGCTTTTAGTGAGTAGTACTGGTTTTACCGGTGAGTCCCACATCACGTGCCTAAATGCATTTCTCAGAAAAAACTTTTTCACTAACTGACTACACTAATGCCCGATTTCACCAACGCCACCTAAGTTTAAGGGATCCCCCTAAATTTAGGTGCTCGAAATATGGGCTTAAAGACGATGGTAAAACGAAATTTAATTTAGGGGCTAGTTTCGGTGAACTTTTAAGCTAGGGATCCCATACGTAGGTGGTAGCTTATGGGTTGTTGGCATAGAGTATATTCGGGCATAAAAGTTAATTAACACAAATCCCACATTTTTCATGTGAACATAATGTATATAACCTTCCATGCGAGATTGAACCTATAGTCTCCCACTTAGTACACACTGCGAAGCACTGTACATCTGCCTCACATCGTTATAAAAATGATAATGTCATTTATTTGACTCGATACGCCATTATTAATTACGATTTCCTGTAATTAAAATAATATATTAAAAAATCTTAGCAAATTATACAATGCGACGATTATACCTAAAATTATTTAATTAATTCCAAAGATATTTAAATAATTCTTGGAATCATGGACATACTAATTAATTTTACATCATTAACAACTAATAATTACTATTTAGGTATTTTAATACTTTAATTCTTACCGCCATTGCAATTTTTTTTTATTTTAATTATCTGGATTCTAGACTATTTTACCATTTAGACTAGAGAGTGATGAAATATTGTAACGCTTTGAAATAATAAAACCAAACAATAATGTTTCATAATACTTTCCTAGAATATTGACATTTTAAATCTTCTTTCTATACATATAATAAAATTGTAACTAAGTCGAATCTGTACATTAAATATTTTTTGGAAAATCTAATTGAAATAGACATTATTAACGATACAGAGGTCGAATCTATAGTTTTTAGAAACTTTGTCTGTCTGTCTTTCTGTCTGTCTGTTACCGCATCACGTAAAAAACCACTACAGGGATTTTGATGAAATTTGGTATGATGATAGCTGGTTATGCGGATCAACATATAGGATACATTTTACCGCAGGAAAATATCTCATCTCTGAGAAATCTATACTTAACGTTAAAACGTAAGCAGGGACGAATTCGAGCGAAGCGAGGGTGAGTCTCTAGTAAAACTATATTTTCGGATTATTTCGCGGATTTATTTAGATTTTTGGTTGTTATTGTTCCACTACGTTTATATAAAATCGATAAGCACAATCGAAAATCTAATATGCAATCTGTATTTTGCGCATAATTTTGTATAAAAAAATAAATAAATGAGTAATGCTATGAATATTTTAAAACACATTTCCATAAACTATTCCTAGAATCATTACGAAACTATAATCAGTTTATCGACATAAATTGTTTCATCGCAGTTACATCACTAGTATCGTACGTCTAGTTCACTACACTACCCAAATGTCATTGACTTCAGTAAGTGAATGTGCATACGAAGAGGCTCGTTTCCAATAAAATGATTGCATAGCCGTGTCAGCCGTTATTAGCCTCCAGGCCTCAGCCGAGTCATTACATTCTATTACACGGCTATTATAAATACGGTTATACCATTAGTTTATTCAGAAATAACAAATTAAAATGGTCATCGAAAAGATTTGCTGCCTCGGAGCAGGCTACGTCGGCGGCCCTACGTGTAGTGTTATAGCTCTAAAATGCCCAAATATCAAAGTGACTGTGTGTGACAAAAGCGTCGAGAGAATAAACCAGTGGAACTCAGACAAATTGCCCATTTACGAGCCCGGATTGGACGATGTTGTGAAACAATGTCGAGGCAGAAACTTATTTTTCTCGACGGATATCGAGACTAGCATTGTGGAGGCTGATCTTATTTTCATTTCCGTTAATACGCCAACTAAAACGATTGGTAACGGTAAAGGTAGGGCTGCAGATTTAAAGTACATTGAAGGAGCAGCTCGCATGATCGCCGATATAGCTACCAGTAATAAAATAGTTGTAGAAAAAAGCACAGTGCCAGTGAAGGCAGCTGAAATTATTATGAAAATTTTACGTGCTAACACAAAACCTGGTGTTGAATACCAGATTCTATCTAACCCAGAGTTCTTGGCGGAAGGAACAGCTATAGTTGATTTAGTTGAAGCTGAAAGGGTGCTTATTGGTGGAGAAGACACACCTGAGGGTCAGAAAGCGGTGCAGGAGTTATGTTGGGTGTATGAACACTGGATCCCAGCCAAAAACATCCTTACCACTAACACATGGAGCTCTGAGCTATCAAAGCTAGCAGCTAATGCATTCCTTGCTCAAAGAATCTCCAGTATAAATTCTTTATCTGCTGTATGTGAGGCTACGGGGGCCGATGTTTCAGAAGTAGCTAGAGCAGTGGGTCGGGACTCCAGAATAGGCCCTAAATTCCTTGAAGCTTCCATTGGTTTTGGTGGTAGTTGTTTCCAAAAGGACATCCTCAATCTCATATACTTATCAGAATGCCTAAACCTTCCAGAAGTTGCAGCATATTGGCAGCAAGTTGTCAATCTAAATGATTACCAAAAAACTAGATTTACTCGTAAGGTCATAGAATCTCTTTTCAACACTGTAGCAGACAAAAACATTGCAATACTTGGATTCTCGTTTAAGAAAAACACTGGTGACACAAGAGAGTCTCCAGCCATATATGTATCGAAAACCCTTTTAGATGAAGGGGCAAAGCTCCACATTTATGATCCTAAAGTGGAACATGACCAAATATTCTATGAATTATTACATCCACTAGTCACAAATGAGCCAGAATTAGTTAAGAAAAACATTGAAATCCATGATTCCGCATATTCAGCGGTTTCCGGGGTGCATGCAATAGTATTATGTACAGAATGGGATGAATTTAAGAATTTGGACTATAAGAAAATCTATGAAGTTATGATGAAACCAGCTTATATCTTCGATGGGAGGAAAATCTTGGATCATGAGGCCTTGCAGCGTATTGGGTTCCACGTTCAGACCATAGGGAAAAGGCTGTCGAGGACAAGCAGTATTCGAGCCCAAGGTAGCCAGACTATGCCATAGTATAGTTTTTATGTAAGTAATATACTATTTTATAAGATATAAGGATATTTAATTAAAATAATATTTTTCTTTTGATACAAACATTCGGCTCTAATTTTAGAATAAACTTTTATTCAATTATATTATTAAAAATAATTGGTATTTAATGTTCATTCCACGTTTTATTTACTTTGTAAACAAAAACAAATGTCAAGGCAGTTATTAAGTAAAGTATAAAGTATAGTAAATGGATGATGTAGAATAAATAAAAATATAAGTATAATATGAATACTTTTTCATCAATTTTTAAAAAAGTTTGGGATTTATTTTTAACTGACTTCGAAAAAGGAGGTGTTTCTATGTATATGTGTGTTTTTTTTTAGAAAATAATCCACTATTTTAGATTAATTATGTTTAAAATGATTTTAAAACTGGTGCATATCAAAAACTATTAAAGTAATTCATGTTAATATTATAAATGTCAAAATAACTCTAGTGTGTCTGTTTGTGACCTTTTTATGCTTTAACTGCTGAACCGATTATGATGACATTGTGGCAATGACATAGATTGCACTGTGGAGATATATGACTATCTTAAGAATATATGGAATAGCCATTTTAGTTGTAAACTCATTTCACTCGGGTTTGTCCCTACATATGTTTTAACAGCTAATATAGAATAAAGAGACTACTAGCATTGCCCGCGGCTCCGCCCGCGTTCAGATGACCAAAAACCAAATTCTTAGGTTTTACATATTAGTATACTCTTACATTGCAGTTTTTGTATTTTTTCTTAGAAATGAGATATTTTCCCGCGGTAAAAAGTATTCTATATGTTGACCCGGATCACCAGCTATCATCATACCAAATTTCATCAAAATCCCTCCAGTGGTTTTTCCGTGATGCGGTAACAGACAGACAGACAAATATTCTAAAAACTTTAGATTCGGCCTCTGTATCGATGGTAATGTCTATTTCAATAAGATTTTCCAAAAAATATTTAATGTACAGATTCGGCTTGGTCACAATTTTATTATATGTATAGATTACTGCTCCGCTCCCTTGGGTAGTAGCATGATGATAGCCTACAATATTTTAAGATATGAATATCTAATAGGTAAATATTAATTATACGTATCGAAATATATTAAGATTTGCTTTGCATCGGCTGGCACCGACTTCGAAAATATCTGTTAGGTATCTATTCTAAATGAAAACCTCCGTTTAGTTATTTTTTACATTTTAGTGCCTGGAAGTCGGTTTTTATTTTTTTTTTATAATTTATAATAGCATTATTATTCCACCTATTTGAAGTACCTAAATATTCGTGAATCACGAAAATTATATATTATTGCCAATAAAAATATTATGAATTTGTTGAAGTTATCGTGCTTTGCAAAAGAGTTTTTATTGTTGTAATAAATATTTATTGTTAACATTTATTATTATATTTATCTGTGGCAATATAAATAATATATATAAATATCTCATATGTCATAATCCAATTATTTTATGGTATACATACGTATATTACTATAGTTTTCATCTTCGGCCATTTTTACAGAGACAAAGACGTGTGTGTGTACTTATGTACGCACGTAAGAAGTTATACTTCTTTGGCGTAACAGAACAAAAATAGCTAACGATTTCATTCCGTATGTCACAACTGTCTGTTTGTAAAAGGAATGCGGCTAACTTCATCATGTAGCTTTTTGGCTGTCGGTGCAAAAATTTTCTACTCGTAATTTTTTCCAAATGTGTCAAAAGAAGTATTACTTCAAAAACTTGCTTTAAGAGTTAAGACCACAATGGTACACTATCGGGCTTTAAAAATCGAGTGAAACGAGCCCAAAAACGGAGGCTTCACTAGTAGCCATTGAAGAGTTCCACTATCCAACTCCTGGCTCCACATCATCAGATCAGTTCGATAACAAATTACGGTATTGTCTACGGATTTCATATACAAATATAAGAAGTAGGTTAAAATCGATTTCCATGATTTGATTACATAGTTTCAATAGATGCTAATAAAGGAGCGGTAAAAATAGCCTACGGTAAGAGGCATTTGAATTATCTATACATACATATAATAAAATTCTGAGCCGAATCTGTAGGTACATTATATGTACATATTTTTTGGAAAATCTTATTGAAATAGACATTATTATCGATACAGAGGCCGAATCTATAGTTTTTAGAATTTTTATCTGTCTGTCTGTAACCGCATCACGAAAAAACCATTGGACAGATTTTGATGAAATTTCGTAAGATGATAGCTGGTTATCCGGGTCAACTTATAGAATACTTTTTGTAAAGTATAAATGTCTTCTTAAAATTAGTTAAAGCGTTTTCTTGAATCTTTTTGCAATAAAAAATATATTTTCAGTGTGTTACAGTTATTGTATTTTATATATTTACTTACAAAAAAAGAAAAAAATATATTTCCGCTGAATTTCTTTCACCAAATCTTCTCAGGACTGAGGTTTTTTCTATCCGAACTGATGATAGACAGTGGTCATTGCTCACCATAGACTGTGTGACTGCCTCGTAGGCTTAGGACTTAAGTCCCGCGTTCGAGTCCCGTATCGAGTTAAGTTATTCAGTTTTCCTGTCAAGAAAAATTCAGTAGCAGCCTAGAGTTGGGAAGTTGGCGGTGTTGAACCCATCTCATGCCTCTTAGAGCATGTACCTCGGTCTATGAACACGATACTAGCATGACTCAATATGACGTCAGAAGCTAATCTGTAATTTAAATAAATCGAAAAGTCGTGAGAGAAGCAAGATTGTCGTCACACTACCACTAGTGCTAGTTAATTAGAATAAAAACTTAAAAAAAACCGACTTCCAGACACTAAAATGTAAAAAATAACTAAACGGGGGTTTTCATTTAGAATAGATACCTAATCGGATATTTTCGAAGTCGGTGCCAGCCGATACAAAGCAAATCTAATACATATTTATCTATTAGATATTCATATCTTAAAATATTGTCGTCTTACACCGACTTCGAAAATATCTGATTAGGTGTCTATTCTAAATGAAAACCCCCGTTTAGTTATTATTTACTTTTTAGTGTCTGGAAGTCGGTTTTTTTTAAGTTTTTATTTTTATATCTTTAGTGTAGACGTAATAAGCAGGTGATTTGTAGGAAGAAAGTTTTTAATAACATGTTCGATTAAACAATTTGTTTAAAAAAAATATGTAAGTAAGTATTGTTGATTTTTTTAAAAAGCGCTCGACCGATTTCGATAAAATTTATATGGGACCACCTGGGAAGTTTACCTTTCAAACAAGGCGAAAATTTTCGAAATCGGTTCAGGCGTCTTTGAGAAATCGATGAACATATGTAAGTACATATAAAAAAGACAGATTCCGACGAATTGAGAGCCTCCTCGTTTTGGAAGTCGGTTAAAAAAAAATAGTGCTCAAATGTGCAAATAGCGTTCATTCGGTGAGGACATTTTTTGTCGTTGATTGTGTATCTAGTACTTTCTTGATCGATGATAAAATCAAAATATGATCAAATAGACTTTTCTGCTGATTAGTTTTCTTAAGCGGAAACCGGTACAGAGTGATGATGATGATGATGATGTTCTCCTAGCCGATTCCGGCCACGGCGGCCAATCTCATTGAGACTAGCCAACTGCGCAGGAGATATTATAGCGCACAAGTGTACGCGCAGACACAACGTGCACTCTCTATTCCTGTCACTCTCATACTCCGGTGGGAAGAGTATACAAAAGTCATCAGTTGACCTCCATTTTGTAGAGGAAGGAAAGATTTTTTTTTAGATTAATGATAGTATATGACCTTTGATTTAGTGTCGGTCCAAATATAAAGCTAAGTAATGTGTCCTTTTGACCTCACACAAAATGATGTGTGTGTGTATGTGTGTTCATCACAAAAATGAATGCCCTCAGCGAGACTCGAACCTGCGGCCGCTGGCACAGCAAGTAGGGTACCTATGTGAAGTTAGAAACTGACTAAACAATAATTTGTTTTTATCAATTCTATTCGATTGTACTACGTTTGTACCGGATTGTACCGCTTTTAAAATCGTTTGTACCTCAAAGGGGTGAGCAATATGGGGGTTCGAATATATATATGGTTCACAGCCAATTAGGTTGGCTGTGACGGGTACAACGAGAATTTATTGTAAAATTAAATTAGCGCATGTATGAGAAGCTGAGAACTTATTCGTTCTCGGCTTCTCATCGTTTGTACCCGTTTGTACCGTGGAGAATTTGGTTTCTATCATCATTATACACGTGCTAATTGATTTTTACGATAAGTTCTCAGCTTCTCATCGTTTGTACCCGTTTGTACCGCAGAGAATTTCGTTTCTATCATTATTATACATGCGCTAATTGAATTTTACAATAAGTTCTCGGCTTCTCGTCGTTTGTACCCGTTTGTACCGCCGAGAATTTCGTTTTTATCATTACTATACACGAGCTAATTGATTTTTACGATAAGCTCTCAGCTTCTCATCGTTTGTACCCGTTTGAACCACCGAGAATTTCGTTTTTATTATCATTATACATACGTTTATTGAATGTTACAATAAGTTCTCGGCTTCTCATCGTTTGTACCCGTTTGTACCGCCGAGAATTTCGTTTTTATCATTACTATACACGAGCTAATTGATTTTTACGATAAGTTCTCAGCTTCTCATCGTTTGTACCCGTTTGTACCGTGGAGAATTTGGTTTCTATCATCATTATACACGTGCTAATTGATTTTTACGATAAGTTCTCAGCTTCTCATCGTTTGTACCCGTTTGTACCGCCGAGAATTTCGTTTCTATTATCATTATTCATACGCTAATTTAATATTACTATAAGTTCTCGGCTTGTCATCGTTTGTACCCGTTAGTACCGTGGAGAATTTGGTTTGTATCATCATTATACACGTGCTAATTGATTTTTACGATAAGTTCTCAGCTTCTCATCGTTTGTACCCGTTTGTACCGCCGAGAATTTCGTTTCTATTATCATTATTCATACGCTAATTTAATA